GGAGTGTCTCAAATCGAGGTCTCGGGTATTCCTATCCCGAGAGTTTTGTCGATAGGATAAGTACCTATCGTCTTCATCGTCGTAGTGATCGTGGCGTTCTACGTAGTCGCTGTCGCGACCCTCGACGCTCCTCTGAACAGACTCTGGGGAGGTAGCGTGTGGGTCTGTCCGAGAGATAGTGACTAGATCATCCGGATCGTATGGCGCAACGCTGCCGTCCTCGTCCTCGTTGCGCCGCCTCCCGCGCCGCTCGTACCTCGCGGCCCGTCTCTGCGTGTACCCCCTCCACTTGCTCTCCTTGCTCTGGTCTTCCCGGGACTTTCTAGAGTCCCACAGTGGCCGGAGATCGCCGTGGCCGTCTCGGACCCACCACTCGATCCACGTGCGGGTGTCGAGCCAGTCCGAGACGTTGTCCAGAATGCCGGACACCAGGTCTTCCTTGTACTGGACCTCGCCCACCCAGCCGGTCCACGACCAGCTCGGGAAATCCGGGATCGAGGCGTTTCCGGGCGTCTCCTCCACGACTCTCCGCCTGCTGGACTTGATGGGCTCCCAGAGGAGCGCCAGATCGAAGTGGGAGCTCGGCAGCCCGTGGATGAAGGGCGCGCGCATCCGCCTCTCCATGAGGTTCGCCATGCCGCTGAAGGCCGCCTGGATATCCTTGTCGTGCGTCAGCTTCCTCTCGGTGTACAGCTCCACGCACTTCATGTAGACCCAGATGGAGCGGTTGTCGAGCTGCCGGAACATCTGCAAGGGGGCGTCCACCAGGTCGAGCGACCAGCCGGCGCCCCTCTGGTCCCCAAAGATGTCCTCCGACATGCCCGTCGACCGGCACTGGAAGTAGACCCTCCCGTTAGTGAAGATGAGGCACCGCCGCGAGAGCAGCCTCTCCTGGAACGTCCACGCCCGCTCGTTCCACTCCGAGGCGCGGATGTACATCTCGGGCGGCCTCGTCACCATCAGTTCCAGCCGCGGGCCGACGAGGCCCTTGACCTGCTGCGTGTTGCGGGTCGCCGGCCGCATCGCGCAGAGGCCCCTCGTGGCGTCGCCGTCGGCGGCGCAGATCGTGAGCGCCGCGTTGCCGTAGATGAGGTCCATGTTGTACGCGTTGAGCTTCCACGACCGCGCGCTGTTCTGGACGATGCAGAGCCGGTCGACCCAGATGTACCGGAACCCGAGCCTGCGCGCCAGGTCGATGGCGTCCCGGATCGCCCTCGGCAGCTTCTGCAGCACCTCCTCGAGGCCCCCGTGGGTGCGGTGGAGCATGACGTTCTCCGTCCGGGTCGTGTAGGCGCCGGGGTCGGCGCCCCAGACGTAGCTCAGCGCGACGTACGGCTCGGGCTTGACCTGGTCCAGGGCGGCCTCGCGGTACGGCGGCTGTCTGTATCCCCGGGGGCTGGGCAGGGACTGGCAGGGCAGCTGCGTCAGCTGCATGTTCTGCACGTCGATGACGCCGAAGTACGAGTGCGAGATCATCTCGATGAACCTCTCGGCGCGGCCGTCGTCCGTCTGGCAGCAGGGCCCCTTGTGGGTCTTCCTGCAGAGGTCCAGCCACGACTGGATCAGGGCCTGGTTCTCGATGTTCTCCGTGATGGCGCGGCCGAGGAACAGGGAGTCCTTGACCCACACGCGATCGGCGTCGGACGTGGTCCTCGAGAACTTGTCCGGGGCGACGTACACCAGGTACGCGTCCGACAGCCGCGGGTGGTTCCACCGGAAGTGCATGCGCCGCGTGACGCCCCGCACGAGGTTCTTCGGGGACCGGCCGCCGGAGCTCCCTGTCGAGGCCGCCTCGCGCCCGTCGATCTCCCAGCTGACGAAGCACGTCGCCCTCTGTAGCTGGGCTTCCGCGCCTTCGTCGGGGGCTTGGTCGGCTGGCGGTTTCTGCGTGCCCGCCTCGCGCACCGATCTCACGATGAGCGCGCAGAGGGCGCAGGTCGCCGAGCGGGCTTCCATCCCTTGAAGGCTGCCCAGCCGTCGGGCGGTGGTGGACGAGTGCAAGAGACGTCCCGACGACGGAAACCCGGAGGCTCGGGGCGGGCCGGACTGCACCTTGAAGCTCTGAACTCCCAGTTCGAGACTCTGGCAGACCGGGCACAAGTCCTGCAAGCACCCATCCATCAGTCTGCCAGCCCAACGTGAATATCAGGGGTCAGAGGGGGGGGGCGCCTTTCACCGCCTTATGACCGCGGGCCCTCGCTCACCTTGTTCTCGCGCCGTCTCTGTTCGCTGCTGCCCGAGTCCGACAGCGGGCGGGGTCTCACCGCGGGCCGGGCCGGTGTTTCCGCCACGTCGGACATGACGGACGTGACGGACAACGGGCGGGTTCGGTGGCTGATCTCGGCGACAGACATGATCGGATGCCGGCGGGATGCTGAGGGAAAGGATGAAATGGCTGGGTTGCCGACGACAGGGAATGAAAGCTGCGGCTGAGTTCGAGGTCCCTTTTTGTTAGCATGCATCTCGTTGTAGCTGTCCCTGGTGTCAGCGCTAACCTCGTTTGTACGAACATCTTTATCGCCCCGTCTAATCTCACCACCACCCGCCAAGCGTCATGGCAGGACAGTGGGCCAAGATGATCCAGGGGTGACCTCTTTGACTCTTTGAGGATGGGGGTTTTTTTTTCCGCGAAGCAATTTCTCATCGTAAGTACTTGGAAGGCAGACGAGATGCAATGAAGTGCCAGACGACAGCAACAGCGCCGCTGGGTGCCACATCGCCCTGAATGCTGGTGAGCAGAGACGCACCCTCTTGCAGTCATTCGCAGAGACGGAGAGACTGTACAACAGGTGGACGGCACCGGGTGACGACGTCTCTCGGGTGCCCGACTGCCGAGGCCCGAGATATTCTCGCGCCTTGGCGGCCTCAGAAGGTCTGTGATATCGCCCATCGATGCCTTGGGCGCAGAAACCAGCACGTCGTCTTGCGCACATACTAGAGTTGGGACGGCAACGGCAAGATGGTAGCCATTGTTTGAGGGTGAAAGGGAATGGCGATGTGTCCGTCAGCCCAGACAACCCGCATACGTCAGAATCTTTGCACAGACTCGACGAGGATACCTCCAATCGAGTGATCCCTATCGTCGACGAGATCCAGAAGAGTGCCACGCGTGGCACCGGTCCACTCTTCTTCGTCGACGAAAAGGCGCTCGAGGAAAGGCTTTTGCCGAGTTCTCAACCTGGATGGCTACAGAAACGTCGTGCGCCGTTCTGCCATCGAGCCTGTAAACCTGGCGGCATGAAGGTCCGCGAGGAACTTGGTCGCGACGTCGATTGTTGGTCGAATGGGGGAGATCGGTCACCTTCACAACCCCCCAAGTGAGCAACAGGCCCATACGTGGTATCTGCCCAGCCGGTTTAGGCTGTCGTTACATGACCTTACAATATTGTTAGTAAACATAGCAACATGCTGGTTAACTTTGAAGAAACCAATACCTCGGTTAACACATCGGCTACCCCGAAGGAATTATTGTGGTGCAATCTTATCACGGCGTGTCACAAAACTACCTTGGGCCGTTATCATCTGTTGATTATGAGTACAGCAGGGCATGACTGTTCGGCCGCTGCTATAACTGCGCAAGAGTAGAAATCTCCGGCTTCGGTCTGGCTGTTCCATCTGGTTTCAGAGCTCACGAACACACGGCAACACATGTCCTGTCCTTTTCTGTATTTTTTAAAAAGCATCTGTTGTCGACATGCTCCATTGAAGGAAGCAACACTTGCGATGGGAAGTAACGCTGACGTGCTTTCTGTGGCATGTGGTAATAGGGCCATGCAGTGTTGCTTCAATACCATCTTAGTCTAGGACACGCATGTTTCTCTTCCTACGCTTTTGACTCGGCTTGTGTGTTGGAACGACAAGGGAAATGCCATGCGCGCACTCAGCGAACATGCTGGGGCAAACGTCGCTGTGAACCCGCGCCACGAGAGCCGTAGTCTCGGACGCTCGACTAGCCGGGCTAAAACTCTTGAACTGCGCAATCACATGAAACCCTTCTTAATGGTGTCTCCGTTGAGACATCAGGACCCTTCTTAATGGTGTCTCCGTTGAGACATCAGGCGCTTCCTCTAGGCTCTTGTTTGTTTGCGGTATCTGAGTGAGACTTTAACATGCCTTGATTGTCAGGGTCCGTCCCTGCCGGGTTTAGGTCGCGGGGCTGAAGCGGGGGTCATTCCAGCGTTTCTATCCTCACAGTCGGTCACTTCACGTTGTCGGCAGCGTTGTTTATCCAACCAGAGTACAATTGTTTGGGATTGCTCTGATGTCTTAGATCAGCGTTTGGTGGCGGGCTGAAGCGGGGGCACTCAAACGTTTCCATTCAGTCACCTCGCGTTGCCGATAACCTAGTTAATCCAATCAGAGTACGGATGTTCGATGTGGCTTTCAGCTCATTAGGCAACGAATGGGCTGCTCCGGAGATGTCCCCTGTTCCGTCGCCATATGGGCTGAGGGGTTCTGGGAGATGGAGTTGAATATCCATGATGGAAACCTCTTCATGTCGGAGATGTACTATGGTTGTTGGAGGGCAGCTGATAATTGAGAGGGCAGGTGACAACGTAGTATCAGAGAGTTGACGATATGAAGACATGTTGAGAACTGTTTACACCCTAGATTTATGCTACATACAGGCGGGGTACATAAACGCATTAAACGACAACCAAGCATGGTTGCGGTTGTGGAGAGAGACGGAAGCGGACCGACGCGTACCCGTTGGGGTTCCAACTTCATTTGCCCCTCAGAAGCTAGAATTCCATGTGAGACAAGTATGTATTCCCTCCCCATGTGTACTTCTTAATCGTCTAAGCCGCTTTGAGCGCTTACTAGAGTATGGAATATGAATTTCCCCTCAATAGCTACTAGTGTGGGAGAGTTGTGCAGTACCTGCGTGAGTCAATACGTGCCAAGGACGGAGGTCTGTACTCGTACAGACGGCTGAGAGCAGCATACATATCACACTACTGCCGAGTTACCTCTTTTACTTAAACTTCAAGCTCGACGAAGTCTGTTTAGTTAATCTAGTTCCACCCATATCGTACCATGGCGGTCTCCATGTCTTGTAGGATTTCAGATTTTGGATTAGCACCCTCACCTTGCGTTGAATTTTGTGGTTGCAGCAAGATTGTCTCATGCCAGCTCTGGAGGATGGCACTGCTGCCGTACGAGAAAGGTTTTTGATGGCACCGAGGGAAAAGTATTTAAAGAGCTACGGTTTAGCTCTATTCCGTCTCCTTGTTGCATACCCTCAATCACTTCAACTTTGACTCTCCATTCTAGACATTACTCCCTGAAAAAAAGTCACCAAAATGGGCAATCCCGTTGAGCAAAGCGTTTCTACGGAAACCCCGATGTCTCTTGGATTTTCTCAGACTGTTCTCCAGTCAGATGTCCAACCAGAGACTGCTGGGTCCGGCGGCCTGGAAGCGCAAGTATCGATGGAAGCTCAACCAGAGGCGCCGCTGGGTATCCTGAAGAAGCTCGAACACCACTCGTTCTCCGGGTTTGGCTTCAACACCATCTTCCGGCCACACAGCAACAAGACCCCGACTGGCTCCAACACGTCTGGGGAGCAGAGCGACAACATTTTGCAACTCAATCTCACCAGAGAAGTCATGAAATTCGACTTCAGGCTCGGAGACGTCCCCAACCGCGGCTTGTTTGGGCAGGCTGACATCAACCTCAACGGATTGCCTTACACCCAGAAGATCTTCGACGTGATGGAACCTGAAATCGAAACGCCGCTCATCCACTTCGAGAACGGCATGTGGCTACACGTCCCTGAGACCACCGCGCCTGCTCTGCCCGCTTCTCTTGCCCGAATGGCTTCCATTCCTCACGGCACAACCATCAACGCACAGTCTTTCTCGGCTCCTGTTACCGTTGATGGCGCCCCCGATATCAAGCCTATTTCGATCACGCCGATTCAGATTGAAACAGGACAATTGATCCCATTCTCCAGCCAAAAAGCAGATAAGAAGAACACCTTCCGTCTTCCTCAAGACCTTACCCCCTTCACCAAGGCTGAAACCGTTACACAAGAGATGATAACCAACCCCAACGTCGTCTTGACGAACGCCAACAAGGGCAAGGAGATCATAAAGCACACCACTTACACTATCTCGACGTCCCCACCTGAGTCCAAGCTTGGCGGGGGCACCAGCAATATCGGTTTCCTACAAGGCAATGGCTCCCAAGGCGACGGCACCCCGGCCACGGATAACACACCCAGGGCCAACGCGAACGCTGTGAAAGTCACGGCCACCTACTGGATCTCGACGGTACGCACGAAGCTCCAACTTAAGCGGTTCACGCCCAGCATGGAAGAGCCGACGAGGACGTTCTCCCCGATCGCCTTCCGCCCGAATGACGCGGTGCCTGTCTTCACTGTTGACTTCAAGATTCCGTCGGCCAAGGAGGTCACGGTCGAGTACACTCAGATTCAGTATTCTCAGATGGTGTTCCTTGACTTTGCCACTCTCAGCTGGCCTCACGCTACTGTCGGCACACTCGCCCCCACCGATCTGAAGCTGAAGCACTCTGTCCTGCGCCAGTAGGTCTAAACATGTGGCCGCGAGTCAAACTCGCTAACACGGATTCGCGTCATGAAGTTACGAACAGGCGAGCCATAATGCCGTAGTAGCTCAAGGTCTCCATATCGTGAAAGATGGCTTGTTTGTTGGCAAGTTCCGATTAGCTGTGTGTTCTCTGCGATTCTTTCACGCGAACCGGAGGCTAGGCAGAGTATTTAGATTATCTTGTTAAAAAAAAAAGAAATAAAAGTGCTTCAAGTATTCTTTATCAGATTACCGAAGCCAGGATGAAAGCTTTCCAAATTAGAAGAGTTGTTCCTTCAGAGTCGGTACCTGATGAATATGATACAGGACTCTCGGCGCGGTTGTTGAGTCTCGGACATGCCGCACAAGGATGTATTCTATTCGCCAAACCTACATCACCATCCATTGTTCTTGCCAGACATTGTTTCATAAAAGTCGGCATAATCGGTCCTACTTTATGATTTCCCACTTTTGGTCTTCGAATCCCACTGTGTTACTGATCCTCAGGGTACGTAGCATCGCCTCCGCAACTACATAAAGCTCATCAAGCAGGCCCATACTCGTCTTCTTCATCCTCTTCCACAAGCTTCGTTCGGAAATCCACCAATGCGTCGTAGCACTCCTGTCGCCGGAACTTAGCCAGGTCTGGCCACCCGTGCTCAAGGTAGATATTGCGAGCGTCCTACAGTTGTTCATGATACCGGTTAGTCTAATATACCACCAGAGTACATAGAAAATACCAAAACTAAAAACGAAAGTCACGTACCTCAATTCCGGGGTCTGCCAATTCATCTTCCTCTTCTTCCCCTTCCCGGATTGCACCCCATATTTCGGGATAATACTCTGCAACCTCTGTGTCAGGGCGAGGCAAAGGCACCAAGTCAAGGGAATACAGGCTATTGAGTAGCGCATCAAAGAACGGCCCAGCAGGTCGCGGAGGCGTCCACAACCAGGGCTGATCGTCCGGGGCGTCCTGAACCTGCTTATTGCCAGCGTCGTAGATGATGACGGTGCCGGTGTTGGTATCGATGATCCACCACTCACCGCTGTCACTGCCCTCGCCGCCACCGCCCGCAATGGGAACCAGACCTTCAGGCATCTTCTCGGCGAAAGGGAAGAGACCGTGGGCGCAGAGGCGCTCAGGTGTGGCCTTGTCTTCGGTGAGGTCCTCGTTCAACTCAGGGTTGTCCTCAAGGTAGCGCTGTGGCTCGCTGCGACCTACGACGGGCCAGCGGTTATCATCATGTGTCTCGTCGATATCAAGATACGGTAGATGCCGTAACAGGTCGATGACGCGGTCGTTGAAGCCCAGGAGGCGTGTCTTGTCGGCTGGAAGGAAGCTATCATCATCCCACCGCCCGCCTGGCGGGTATTGGATGATCGATGCCGGAAAGAAGGCCATCTGGGCCAGTGTCTCGTAGTACTTGGTCAGGCCAGCAACAATAACGTCCCGGTTATATCCGTCGGGATAAGTCACAGGATCCTTTCTCTCCAGTGATGGGGGTGGTGGTGGTGGTCGGGATTTGTGAGGGGTTGCCTCTGCCTTTCGCTTTCTCAACTCGCGTTCGTGTCTATCTTTCAACAAAGCCTCCAAGTCTTTCCGGCATTTCTCGCGGTCAAAGGCTGGTCCGGGTCCGGAGCCGTGCTGCCATCCTGCCAGCATGTAAGTCTGATACATGGAAGAGGCAAGGTCCCGGCGATCGGGAGTGGAGAAGTCAGGCTCGATGCCATCGACTAGGCCGGGAATAGGGTAGTAGTCCTTGCCGAGCATCGCGGCAACCTCGCTGAAGAAATCAACAGGGGTGTAGGACGGTGCCTTTTTCCACTCGGTCTCGAACTCGTCTGCCAATGCCTCGCCGCGTGGTGGCCCCGCGTACTTGGTGATACGGCCAGTTCGACAGTCGACAAGCCACCACTGCGGGCCATAAAGAGTGTACGCGCCGGCAGGGTATGTCAAGCTGACCATATCTGGAGGAAGGTGGGCGAGCTCGAACAAGCCCTCCAGATTCCCATCTACCAGCGAGCCATATTCCCTCAGGTAACGCATGGCCTTGGTTCTCGGGAAGATGGGCCACTGACCCGTATGAGGGCCTATGTCGACAGGCCGCACGTAGGGAAGGTGGCGTAGAAGGTCCACAGCGGTATTGGATCGACCTAATGTGGTTCGTAGGCCATCCATGTCCAGCTCAGCGTCGCTCCATCCCTCGGGCGGGGGATGTTGGATGTCGTTAGGTGACAGGTAAGGCGTTGTGGACAACTTGGTGTAGAAATGCGCTAGGCCTTGGGCCACCTCACGATGGAAAGATGGATTCTCCATGAGGTGAGATCAGATGTCTTGCTATTCCTGAGGTTTCAGGGCCTAAAAGAACTTGGTGGATCGGGTCTTAGAACCAAACCAAAGTCGACGCGGCTGGGCGGCGGGGTACAGCAGTCTATAGCAAACAAACGACTATCTGAAGGCTACCGACAATGAGTGCAGGTAATGTGATCTTATCAGCAAGGCAATTACAAACTGAGGACGAGGGGCCGTGGTAGGGGTCATCGGGGCTTTATATGAAAGAAGCTAGCATGTCTTGGCATGCATACATGATGCACCGCCCCTGGCGCGGGCAGTAAGCACGTTGTGTCGGTATCACAGCCCTTCCGTTGCAACAGTGGGTGAGGAATAAGTCGGGTGTATTGAGTCAACTGGTCACGAAGAAGAGAAGAAGCTGTTGCGGAAGGGTGCTAGCCGCGAAGCCGTATTAGTGGTGGAGGATCAGGGAAGGTCACGTGGGCAAGTCACGTATTAACTTCGGATCCTCCGGTTATCCGGCTTCCGGCGATGGCATCGCAACACCCTGATCAAGTCCGGGGTTCTGCAGGAGAACGAGATGGAATACAACACCTATCTTCTTGATTTCCTGTGTAGAAAGCAACAGAAAGCAACAGAAAGCAACAGAAAGCAACTACTTCTGAACATAAAATTTCCGGCCATCAACTGAATCCATAAATGGTGCAACTTCCTACATCACCTTACATCATTTTGTCTACGGCGGCGGGGCCGGGCGCAGGCGTGATGAGCGCCGCCGCTTCGGCCGCCACCTCCGTCGCCGTCGCCAGCGCGTCGGCGATCCACTCCGTCACGCGCGGATCCTCGGTGCCGAACACGGTTTGCCGCGGCGACTCGGCGTCTTCATCGGCGGTCGCCGTGGTGGCTGCGGCCTCTACCCGCTCGGCAGCCCTGGCTGTGACCTGGGCATACGGGAGGGACGCATAGCCCAGCTCCTCCATCTCACGACTGCATGACTTGTCTTGGCAGGCCAGGTAGCCCAAGTGCTCGAGGAGCTCCTCCTCGGTCGGCCTCCGCGTGCTGTTTCCCTCATCAACAAGGAGGTTGTCCGGGCCCGGCTCGCTGTCGTGGGCGACCGCATCCTCGTCGATGATGAAGGTGAGGTCGCCGGTGTCGCCGGCACGCTTCCTGACGCGCTTGCGCTTCCGCGAGGTGTAGCCCCAGCTGGCCGAGCTCACCTTGCCGGCAATGACATTTGGTTCCGGGGCTCGAGCGTAGGCTTTCCGGAGCGCACCGTTCGTGTCACGACCAGCCACCCGATCGTACCACGGATCGTCAGTTAGCAGGGCAAAGCCGGGATCGTTCACCAGGGTCTTGGGCCAGCACGGATTTTCTGTGATACCGTAGTCGTCTGGCATAGCTCCCATGTTGGTAAAGTCCATCTCGAACACGGTCTGCGTGGCGTCGGCCGTAACCTCGTAAACAGTCGTCGTACGACAGCCGATGACCTCGTTTGATATGGACCGCGCCCCGTGCTCCTTCTTCACCATATCCGGCGGGCATACGCCCTTCCAGATCTGACCCGCGCCCCCATTCTCCGTGTTGCGAATGAGACGAATCCACGTCCGGCTGTCCCGTGCCTGCCAGATGTCTGCGGGTGGATACTCGTCTCGCTGGCACTGAAGATCAAACTCTTGCAGCCAGCCAGAACTCCAACCTGTGTTGTGCTGTCTGTTATATCTAGTTACAAGGGGCCGTGGTGCCTCTTTGTTTTTGATACTCTTGCCATTACTGTCGTAATTCTTCTTGCTGACGCAGGGTATTTGTTTGACGGCAGGATTATAGTGGATAACAGAGCTGTAGTGATAGCAGGCCTGCTTGTAGAGACCGCCGTCGCACGTTCTAGTGACAGTCTCAGTGGAAAGCTTGCCATCCTTGGTGATTGTCTTCTTGTCGCCGCCGACTGGGGCGCGCTTGAAATTCTTCTTGTTGCAGGTGTTGGGCTTCTTCGGCGCCGGCGTTGGCTCATTACGCTTAGGCCGGTCTACTTTTGTTGTCAGAGGCTTGTCCAGCTTCACGTCATAGTCCTTTCCATTGAACTTGAACGCTGTTTTTCCAGCTTTCGCAATACCCTTGGCACAAACTTGTACCAGGGCCGGCATAGCAGCCTGCAGGGCTATGGAGATGAATATGCCTATGTCGAAATGGGTTAGTCATGTATGTACGGCGCGGGACTGATATGAGAGTGACTTACCAACGATGGGAATGAATCTTAGTGGCGCAGTCGCTGCTGCAATTGCAATGCGGCAGAAGGCCTTGGCAGCCACTTCTATAGCCAAAGCTTCTGCGGCCTCTCGAGCTAGATCGGCCGCCTCGTCTTCCACCTTCTCTTGTATTTGTTGCTTCGACACGGGGCCCTTGAAACCCTTGCAGCAAAAGCTCTGGGTTCCCCCAGAACAGCTCTGGTCTTCATTCTCCGTCTTGTGGTTGGTGTTTTGTGTGATGTCCACCTCATCGTCAGCACATCCCCCAAAACAGGATAAGCCGAGGCCACGATAACCCCGCCAGCGGCATGTTCCCATGGTGACACCCTTGTTGCAGCAAATGCTTCGAACCTGATCCTTTGGACATCGTACTTCGGTGGAGTATTGCCCTGGCTGGCCATTCGCCTGTGCCGCCAAGTGGTCACCGTCACGGCATCCGTCTCCGCACTTGGTCGTGTAGCACAGTCCCCGGGCGGCTTCGTCTTGGTAAATGATTTCGGCTTCCAGAACTTCTTCTTCCGTCAAGCCATCTGGGTTAAGGAGGCTGTTGGCCTTCTGGTCAACTTGGTCCAGCGCCCAGACCATCACACCACCGAGGCATCGTGAGTTGGCAAAGTCTACCTTCTGCTGAAGAGTCTCACCGTCGTCGTACGAGACCCACTGGTCCTTGTCCCAGTGAATCCATTTGACTCCAGCTTTCTGGTCGTGAACAGGCGTGAGGTTCTTCTCTTTAATAATATCCATGATCTCTTGCAGGGTCAGGATCCCCGAGGCCCTGGAGCAGGGACCTTCCTTGGCACCGTCGGAGAACTTGCATACCCCATTGGGCTTACTGCACTCGGCATCTTCAAGCGTGAAAGAACGACCGTAGACTAGAGAATCATCAGCAAATTCATTTACATCATGGCAAACTAAAGAAGAGTGGAGAATTGCTTACAGCCTTGGCCCAGAACGAGGTTCTCAGGCTTCAACCCGCCACGCCATAGCAGATCGAGGGCCATGTCGATCTCTGTGAGATTGGTGTGAGGTGCAATGTACGGACCGATCTCCTTTGACGCCTTATCCCAGACGCCATGAAGATCGTAAGACATTAAGTTGAACCAATCGACATGTGGTTGAATGCCCTCAATGTCAAAGTGTTGCAAATACCAGTACGATGCAGGCAGCGTGATGGAGAAGCCATACGAGCCGGAAAATGCAGCATAAATGTCTTGGCAGAGCAGAACCAGATTGGCGCGGTCCTCAGCTCGTCCTCCGCGATCATCTGAGAGCAATGTCAGTGAATGACCAATTCGTCGGTATTACTAGGGAAGGGAAAGGTATCTGCTTACCAGCCGTCGGATATTCCCAGTCCATGTCCATTCCGTCGAAACCATACTCGTCCATGAAGGCCAAGAGGCCGTCAATGAATATCTTTCGGTTCTCCGGTGTACTTGCCATGTCGCTAAAGGCCTTTTGATAGGGACCAGCTGATGCCAATCTTTGTCAGTATGATTCGTACAATTGGTTGATAGTTTCAAGGCTACCACTGATAGACTTACGATCGTTAAAAGACCAACCGCCAACACTAACCCAAGCCTCCAAACCTGGCTTCTTTTCCTTCAGCTTAGTGAAGCGACTGAGAAGTGAACCTGCATTCTTGTCCATGGGAACAATTTGGAATGTCTGTGGATTGAAGAACACAAACGCAAAGTTGATATGCGTGAGACCGTCGAGGTTCAGGTCCTCTGGGGAGACCTTACTGCAGGGGCGCGTGTTGGCCCACGACTCATAGTAGCCGATGGAGCGAGCCTCAACACTGTTTCCCTTGCTGCATGAAGGCCTCTTGACATCGCCACACGTGCCGAAGCCCTCCTGGCAGCCTTTGTTGACGTCGCAGAAGTCTGTAGTCGAGCCGCAAAAGCTTATATAGTCATTAGTGGGAGCACTACACTCAACCAGGGATAGATCTACTAACCCAAACTCGGAACAGCAAACGTTCAGCGGGCAGTTTTGCTTCCCGGGTGCTCCATACTGGCCGCACTCGGCCTTCGCGCCGCAGTTTGATGTGCAATTTGCTGCACCGCACTCAGCTGGGGAGTAGCCACAAAGGCCAGACCCGTTCTGGAATTGATATCTCAAGTCAGCTGGTGGACATGTAGTATGTATGAGGCTTCAAAACTTACTCCGGCACAGCAGGCGCCATTCACACATGGGGTCTCAGCATTGCATGTCCCTACAGGCAAATCGAGAGTTTCTGCAGGCAAGTCGGTGCCGAGGAGAGCATAGGCCGAGTTGAGGTTAAAGAAGGTAGAGTTACCCGCAACTGCGAGTACAGAGAAGTAAAGGATAAAGAAAGTGAAAGCGGACATGACTGGAGAGCCTAGAGTAAAGAACGGACGACGCATGTCAGCAGAGACACAAGAGACGAGACCAAAACAAACAGCGGTGTCTTCCCAGGAATGAGGGGATAGTTGAGCGCTGTGGGCACCGGCGATTCAAATATCGGTGACAAAAGGCTTACGGGAGGTTCCTGTTCAAATGCTTCTTCATCCCCCATTTCGACGTCGGAGTGTCTAACACTAATCATGGTTGTCGAAGACACAATCCCCGACTTCCTCCGTCACTCGGACTCTAGGGAGCAAGATCCCATAATGGTCTAACCAACAATGCAACTCTAATTTCGAACTTACTATGTATCGACGCAGTCAGAAAATAGTCGACCTGGGCAGTTGATGCTAATAATTGATCACGTAGAGAGTTTTCAACACAGCCAAGCAATGGCTAGTAACCCTACAATCCTACGATCTGTTGAAGTATCCAATCTGAAGAGTTTAAGCACATCATTTGCTCGTCCGTCTCAAAATTAAGTCAGCAAATGCAACTCTGACTGCAGCGCGGTCCTTTGATCCCCTTGCTTTGGTAAGCCAATTACCACGTTAATTAATGTGATCAAGCGGCCAATATTCCCTTTCGAGCAGGTCACGGAGCCTTGGCGCTAGGGGACGGGCCGTATGACCCTAAAAATTGCGTTGATAAGCGCTTGGTTCGTGGGAGCATCCCATCACGCCGTACCTGCAGATCGGCACCGGGTGGTGTGGCCGAATCGGTCATTTACCCGTTTGGCAAAACCCGTGGTCCTATTGCTGTAACCATCGTGCTTGATGTTGGATGGAACTAGTGAAAGGCTGCGCTCATGATTCTACTCTTATTCGGAGCATCTCGATATCAGGGCGGCACTCTGCTGCTCCCTGCCAGACTTCCGTTGCAGCTCAACCCAAGCCTCTTGTTCACTCGCCTTCTGTCGTTTCCAACTAGCGAAGTCGGCAAAACATTCACTGTCATGTTCCTAGGTTACACACCCGTCGTTTTCGTCGGGCTTATGTCTCTTTCCCAAGCCTTCAACCTGTGGCCTCTAGTTGAGAGTGAAGGTCTGTCTAATGTCCTCCAAATCCCCACTAGCTGCCTCAGTGCCTTGTAAGTCCAAGTTTGGATACGTATAAACCGTCATCAAGGATAGATTGTTAACTTTAATCAAGGAACGCCACCGTAACATGCGATCAGGACCTGTTCCAGCGCACCGTCAACGTGGATGGTCTCTGGTGGACTCAAGAAGATGTTGGCACTCTTTGCACTTCTTCGTGTCTGACCTCTGCGCAGAATTGGAAGGAAAATGTAGATGAAGTGTGCGCCGGCGAGTTTATGGTTCAAGGTGATCGAATGGTTGAGGTGGAGACGCTCGCAGCGCGCTTCGTCGAAGGCCTCGGACTTTCATGTCTTCGCTCCTCGTCGGGCCAGTGGTGCTTTGTCGAGCAGCAAGAGTGGACGGGCTCAGACATGATTACGCCCGACTGCGCAGCCAATCCTTCAGATCCATGGTGTACAAACCCTGCGAACGTGAGCGTTGAGAACCAGCGTATGGCGAGCTTGTACGATGATGAGTTACTCTGCTCCGAGTGCTTTCTTCATCTCATGTACAAACGAGTGACGTCCGACTTTCTCGCTGATACTGACCACTCGGACTATCTTGTGAACGAGTTTCAAGATATGCAAGATATTTGCCAAACGACTATCGGAGAGCTGGCCACGAGGGTGCCGCCTCAGTACCCGTCAGCGACCAACGGTATTGGTTGGGAACCTACTGAGCCCGGCAGTCCTCCATCAACAACACAACCCACAGCTACGGCCACTGCCGTCCCAAACCCGGATCCCGACTGCGAGCTGGGTCAATGGGTAGACATCTTTGCCACCCGTGAATCCACGCTGGCTGAGACCGACTTGGAGAGGTGCAATGAGCTAGCCGAGTTGCATGGCATTGCTACCGGCGACTTGATGGTGACGACTCGTAGTTCATCCTGCACCATGGAGCCAGAAGGTCCTTTGTATGATGAAGACTCGGATGAAGGATGGTTCTGTGGATCGCCCGCCTGTCGGCTTCTTCGGGTGAATGAAGGAGATACTTGGTGAGTGAAAATATCAAACGGCTGGGTCTGACGCATTACTAATTAACATTCGCCAAACACAGTGAATCCATTGCAGCCGCAATCTCCAATGATACAAACCCCATCACAGCCGTGCGGCTGGCTACCTGGAACCCAAATGTACTTGGGGCATGTGACTTCCTAGTCCCCAACCAGTACGTTTGCATAACTCGCCGTGGTGGCTCTTGGGTCGGTCCTCCCGAGTCAGAAATCCCCGATGATGGGGAAGGGCCGGTTCGTGGAGGACCAGGAAGCACGCCCAGTCTTCCCATCCTGGACAACCCATCCTCTCCGCCGACAGATGTGCAACAGGGCATCGCCCCGAGCTGCAATCGCTACGTCCAGGCCAACAACACGGCGGCCTCATGCTGGAAGATTGCCAACGACGGCGGTATCTCGCAGGCGCGCCTATTCGAGCTCAACCCCGTCCTCGGGGAGTCGGGCGAGCACTGTAACACACAGGTATGGCTTGGCTACTACTACTGCGTCCGCATCGCCGGCCAAGGCCCAACCACCACGGCCCCACCGGCAACAACGTCGGCGGTGCCCACATCGGAGCCGACGGCGGTTCCCACGCCGTCGCCCATCCACCAAGGCACCACTCCCAACTGCAACAAATGGGCTGAAGCGCAAGACGGCGATTCCTGCTGGAAGATGGCCAACGACGCCGGCATCGCACAAAGCTCTTTCTATGAGTGGAACACGGTGCTGGCCAACGGCGACAGCTGCGATATGATCTGGCCCGGGTACTTCTACTGTATCGGGGTGAGATCAGATCCTCCAACTACTGCTACACAGGCGCCGCCCGCAACTACCACAGCGACGGCACCCAAACCTTCGCAGACGCAGGCGGGAATTCCGGCAAGCTGCGATACGTTCGCCCAGGCCCTATCCGGCGCCTCGTGCTGGCAGCTCGCTACCGATGCCGGCATTACCTTGGAGCAGTTTTTCAGCTGGAACCCTGTTGTTGGGTCGGAGGGTGAAAACTGCGGGACGCAGATCTGGCCAGAATACTATTATTGTGTTGGGGTTAGCGGATAAAGTGATCTACATGACAGCTTACATATATATTCTCTTGATTTCACACCGCGAGAGAAGTGGTTTCCCGCCTTTTACAACACAGGGGTCATGCTCATGTTCCGGCCTTTCCTGGCCTTTTTCAATTACTAGAATCCTTTGAGTGAGGCTTGTACCATACTCTCTATTCCCATGCATATCTTATAAAGTCGCGCATTACTGTTGCTTTTATGCAAGAATATTATAATACAGGCAAAGAAGGGCCATAGGTTGGCGTTAGTAGGGGGACGTCAGGGACGTCAGGGTCAGGGTTAACAAGGTTAACTAATACAGTGAAGATAACAGAGAAAGCATGTCTTCTATTAGGAAAGGTTACTCCATTCTATAGCCAAGGAAAAGTTTACTCTCACCCCTCCCAAGTCTCTAGGACTAGAAGGTATATAACAACTTAAACTATTAGACTAGCGGGACTCAGGTTTCTGTCATTTAGTTAAAGGCTCTTCTAGGTTATGTTTCAGACTCGGATAGTATGATCGTTATGGCGGGTTCACCCGGCACATCCAATTATCTCCTAAAGACGATGCCGCAGCCCGTGAAGCAGCAACTATGTACCGCCGCGAAAGGTACTCGTTGAAAGTCAATGGCACGAGTGGAGGTAGTCCTCGGAAACTATGAACTGAAGGTCAGTATAAAATGAAGAACGAGGGACAAGAGTCGCATGAAGAACCTTCGTGTGGCGTCTTCAGCTGCAATTTTAAACGTGTCCCCCATCCTGTTGTCCTCGCCGTCATATACGTTTCGAGCTAATGGATTGGGCCGAAGAACTTTATGTTAATTATATGGGCATCAAATGGTAACTCCAACAATTTGGAAGCGAATCACGCCCCTGCTCTGCCGTTACAGTCAGTCATTGCTGCTCCGCCGCTTAGTGACGCAGGCGCCTGTATCACGGTTGAAGGCTACAAGCACCTCACACTACAGACGCTTCCGGCACAAGACCCATTTACAACTTATTGCATCGGGATGTTAGGTAAAGATGAGACTTTGACAAGTCTACTACACACGGAGACGGTCCTTGATCCTCAAACACGGTCAAGCCCCAACCAAAACCCTAGCTAGCCAATGAAATGGACAATAACGTCCGACGCTGTGCCCCAAAACGCACTGTCGATCTTCGTCGCCATGTTTTACGCCAAGCTGCTGACGGGCATTGTGTCTCGGCGCGGATTCGCAATTCTGAATATCGACGGCTTGCTTGACACGCGGTTGGTATTTGAATTAAGGTTCCCGCAGTGGGAAATCCCGTGAAACCATCGTACATGCGAGTGAATCCTCCATGTGTGTAAGAATGCAGATGCTCGTTGGTATTCACGCGAGATTGATGGCAATGGAAACTATCCCTTACTAAAAGCTATCTGTTTCGTTGGTTCATCTATCAAACATGGTTCCGGATTCTAAGAAGCACAGCCATCGCTAAGATTAGAGAGAATATAGAGCATGCCGCCCCTGAATTCCCTGCATTTTTGACTGATGTCTTGACGTTTAATTACTTGGGACCGATTTTCGATGCGGATGCCCTCGTGCCGAGAGTCGTTTCAGTGTCCCAACTCTAGATCCGTCTCCACGATCTCCGCCTCGCTGTCACCCTCACTGAGAGGGGTGTACTCAGACGCAAAGTAGCTGGACTTCGTCACGCTCTGGCAGTGAGGACAGTCGCAGCTTCTTCTAGCGAGCATATGACCGATTACAGGGAGGAGAAGGTACAAGTGGATGGCACTGCCGAGAAAAAGGATATGTCAGCCTGCTCAGTTATAATCCCAAAAGAATAGAGCAGACTTACGTGTCAATCATCAAAGGCACCGTGCCGTACGTGCCCAGCACGATCTGGCCCCTGTCCCAGGGGTTTCTGATGGTGGCCCAGCTGATGAAAAGGAAGATGAAGTGGAATGTGGAGAGGGAGAGGTCGGCGTAGAAGACGTTTGAGGGAGAAAGGGCCTGGATCGGGGAGCCGAGCGCCGCGACGAGGTCACGGCGGATGATGAAGAGGCCGAGGATCGCCGAGGCGAAGAGGGGCAGGATACCGAGGGCCGGGAAGGGGCAGTTCGTGATAATGCCATGGATGAGGAGCAGGATGAATGCTGGAGGGAAGGTGATGATTGTGACTTTGCGGAGGACGACGTTGTTGCCTTCGGAAGCCATGTTGGAATGTGTGTGGTATAATATGCGATGCTGGTTATATTTCCTTTTTGTGGGTTTGTAAGATTTGTTGTCCTGTTTCGTGGTGTTTCCAACGATGTCGATGCTAGGACGTGGAAGCCAGACTTGAGGCTGGATTTCACGACTTTATATCTTGGTGAGATAGATAAATGATACTGTCGCCTGAAGTTAAAACGCATCGTAGTTCGCCCATGATCTACAGAGCCGGGCGTAAAAGCCACGCATCAGCCTCATGTTTCGATGCATCTAATAGACCAGAAGGGAAGGATATTGTTCTAGATGGTGCCGATCACCTGGGACGAATTATACTAGGTACTAAATTAGGAGGATTGCGGCATTGAGCTGTAGTACGTAGCATCCATCGAGCCTGTGGCCACCTGTCCTGTAAAGTTCTGACCGTTTAACAACTCGCGGAATGGCCAGTCGAGCACTAACATGGACGACTCCGAGATCGGGTTGACGCGCTAGAGAGGAAGCGTGGATTTGCATGAGACACAGAATCCTTCGCAGGCAGCCGAGTTTTGATTGACATGAACTAGGCCAATGAGGTGCAGAGATACACTCGGCGGGAGGACTTGGCTGCGTCAACATGGCCAGGCAGATTCTTGGACATGCTGACACTGTGCCGCTTGCGTTGGCTTGTGACTTGGCTTACCTGCTCAGAAAAGCATGCTGGCTGCCGATCTTTCATCAGTCGAATGTTTGCCTGCATCCCTTATTGACTCTGTTCTGGCAGCTTGATGATTGACTAGGAGTAACGCGTATGTAACGAAGGGAATATGCTCTCTTCAAGGACCTCATCAATCGCCAGAAGAGCGGAGATTTAGCTTCATGACATCCAGCTCAGGCAACCGCCGGGAAGATGAAGTCCGCTGTAACACTTTTGGAAGCTTTAGCTTCAGTTTCTATGGATGTCTTTGCCGCTAGAATCGCTGATGCGAGCAATTTGGCTCCGTTTGAATTTAATTTGGGTTTGGATAACGTCGTTCAGGGCCTTGGAGAAGGTTATTATCCTTTCTGAATCGGAAATTTTCTTGATTTGTGTTTGTGGGCCACTCATAGACCTCGAAAGAAGATCACCTCTTTCCCGAAAAACCAGACTTCATACATGAATTCTCATTGTCACAAGACCCTGCGACGTTTTTTATCACGACTTCTAGCTTTCAAAACATCAGGCAAGTCTTGACCATGTAACCTCTGGCAGTGAAGTCTCACAAGATCCTGCCGGATGTCATCGTAGCCAGAGCCGGTGTATGGACATGCTATCCTCGAGACGTCTTTCTCGTGCTCTTTCCGTCTGTGTTTTCCTTAACCCTGATGCCGTCTTGAAAGTCTTTGTGCAGTTCGTAAAGTCGCATCGAAGATATTGCGTGCTTCTGTTTGGTCAACGATTTGTCCCATGACTGAGGGGAAGCGGAAGCTTATGAATTATGTCACGATATATAAGCTACTATTACTGCCCACGTAACAACGGTATCGGTTTGTTACGTGACAAATTACATGTACTCATTTTGTGTCATCGATGGACCACGCTGTCGTTTCGATTCCGTACCCAGTTTCGTGGGCAAATCCGCGCGTGGGGTTTGGGGGCTGGAAGAATCGTAGATCCAGCTAACGAACTTCTCGTACTCCTGGCCCGTCTCAATGACCTCCTGTCGATCGGCGTTATAGGATAGGCATCCACGATGAAATTTTGGACAACAAGGGATATACTTACACGAGAGATGCCAACCAATTAGCCTCGGACATCTTCGAGCGTTCTCAGACTCCCCAAGATGACGAATTTCTCGGCCACCGACAACAACGCCAGAAACGCCACGTTTCCCGACTCGGACTTCTTCATCGGAGCAAACACCTCTTTCTGAAGTTTTCTTTCAGTCTTCGACCTCTCGCCGGCGTACGCTGAGCCTCGCTTGATACAATGGACTGTTTTACCATACCCGGATAGTCGATAGAAGAATTCGCCGGTATCTTGTGAGAACGCCAGCACTACCAAGAACATTGGAGTATCTCTCAGTTTGAAGATAGCCGTGTCGTTGTCTCTGTTGAAACATTTGAAGTTGATGATGTCCCGTTTGACCATTTCCGAGCCAACAGAAGCGTGTTCCTTGTTAGGAGTTGGCGACGACGGGGGTATTATATGAGAGTCGTCCATGGGTAAGAAGGTTTCGGAAGGAATATGGTCTCGGAGAGGGTTGAGATGATATCTGCAGTACTCCATTTGCCTTGGGTCAACACCGGGAGCTGGGGGAAGACCGAAGGCGTGAAGTGGTGCTGAGGACTGTGGACGAGAGACGAGCGTTGAGAGCGGCAAGCTCCTCAAAGCGTGAGTAGCAGAGTTGGGCCCGTTAGCCCCGGGGTCATCACTCCCCGGGTTTCCCCCGCCCACCACGGGGAGGTGGGCCCATGGGCGGTTTAAGTATGTTGGATTGATGTGCGCGCCGCCTGATTCACGTCAGCATATCAATAAGTATTTCGATTAGGACTTAGTCTACTTACTCTGGTTTATTATTGGTAAGATATATAAGCGTTCACTTGCGGCTAGCGTAACATCTGCTTTAGTGGGCGGGCGGCGTCGTCTTTATAAAACGTCTCTTTATTGTTAGTTTGTAGTCTTAGAAATAAACGGGAACACTAAGACAAACGAAATAACTTACCTAGTATATGAACTCAAAATCGTCCACGTCCGCCTCGACGTACTCTTGGTCGTCGTCGTTATTATCGTCGTCGTCGTCGTCGTCGCCGCCAGGAAGAATTGCGGCGGAGGCAACGGGGGCAGGGGAAAAAGGGTTAGGGTCAGACGATGTAGACGATGTTTGCCGAAGAAGAGAGAAAGGGAACATTGTTATCATGGATGGTAATTCAAGAGGAGTCGCCTGCACTGTAGCCATGGTCTTCCTGCCTTCAACATTTCATAGGACGCTTCTCCTCATGTGTGCATATCTAATGCTACTGCCTTTGCTATTGTGGAAATGCTACTCGGGGCAGGTGGTGCGAAACGAGTTGCCAACACAGCTCGCTTGACATTTTGACTCGCATACAAGAACTAATGACTAGCTCTTTCAATCATCGTAAATCTCCTTTCTCTAGGCTGGAAACAACGCCCTGGTCTATTCACAACGTCATGGGAACGTGCAGGAGCAGATGGCAGACTGGGTTTTCGAATTATCATGGGCATGAGATAACCTTGACGTCCCCCTTTCAAATGCAATGGTAAGAAGCTGAAAGTAATCCAAGGCGGATGGCAAATCAATTATAGGACACCCACATTTCCCCTTTGAAAATCAGTGTTGAAATGCCTGGGTCGGGAATCATCTCATTCTAGCGGTTTGGAGATGTGGCCCTGGCAGTCGTTTCCAAGGGATCGTCCAGATTGGCAATGCAGGTTATAGCCTGTTTCTAACGAGCAAGCATCCCAGGCTGTGTAAATTCCTAGTCCATGCATTTTTTTGTTTACTGCAACCAAATCTCATCGCGAGATAGCCCAGACTTGAGCTTGATGCCGGGGTCGTATCTCACCCATGCCGCGCAGCCACTGTAGTATTGAACTGAACTAACAAGCCGTGATTGTACTCTTTCTCTGGAAGATGGGACGATCCATGTTAGATAAAACGTCATCGTGTCCTGCGGCCGGCGCTTGGACACTGTGCCCTCTCTTATCGATGGGATACACCTGGAAATATGGAAAGTACACCATTCGAGAGACGGTGCTCTGTCTTGAATCAGTTCTCTTCAGTTATCATCTTCAGTCAAAGATCTCAGGCAAGACGCGCTGGCCCGACGGTTTCTAGGCAGCGCCAACGACATGGTCTACGTATTTCCCTTCATGTCAAAACGAAATCACCTCACATGTACAGCCATCATGGCACGTGGTCAAGAAAACTGTACTCTTCTATGGCTTTATTCCTACTTGGACGGATTCTACTTCTGCCGGTTCAAGATTTCCTCCATTTTCGAATCGATTCGAACGACCTAAGACCACTACAGATACTGTATAGCTTGGGTAGAGCCACTGTGTCAATGGTGTTAATAGCACAGTTGAACCTCCGGTCTATATGTCGACTTGCTACCTCATCCCATGCTCGTAAAGCCCTATACCCTTGGCCATGCTGCCAAGACACGACATCAAATTTCCAAGTCGCAGCCATCGTGAGATCAACTTCGCTCTCCTTGACCTCGTATCTGAAAAAGAACCCTTCTCCAACACCAGGACTCCATACTTCCAACATCTTTAAGTAGGGCATATATGTAGCTGCTTGACTTGCTGCCATAAGTAGACAACCTAACTCTTTAGGACTGGTAGTCAGCTGTCCAAGTTGGCAACTGAGAACTAGACGCTCAAGCATGCAAGGAGGCAATGCCTCGCCTGATGAGAGTAAAACGTTGAAGTGGGAGAAGAAATTCCTCGCGTCAATGACATACGTTATTGCCAGTTCCTTAAGGTGAAAGCTAGTGGGAACTGCAGTCTGCAGCACAGCTGCTAAAGCGTTTGCTTTCTCGGAGTTACTTTGACTTTGAGCTTCAGATATCAATCTGGACCGAGACTCCCATACGGATAGCCTCTGCAGAGAAGGAACTCGATCTGCGATTGAGAAGGCGACTCTGTTTCCGATTGCTTGTTGAAGTGTTCTCGTCTCTCCCAGCTGTTGTTCAAAGTCGAGTCGCCGAAGGCACGGAAAGCCGTCGCAAAGGTGAGAGAGTAAGATAGACGAACAGCTCCAAGAGATTGTCGGACAGACGGAAATTGCGGTGATACTAGGGACCCGCCGAACAGGCCCTTGCTTGCTGACAACGCTGTTGATACTACGAATTTCCGCGGATGGATCTGAAACGGCGGGTGATCGACGATGGATGCAGCGACGTCGACCACGTCTAGATACGCGGTTCCGATCGCCTGCATTCGGAACTGAGATACCAATCAGTTCAAGCGAAACACCACTTTCGGGTATTCCTTCGGCCCAAAGAGCAAGAATAGAGAGGAGCTCTTCCAAATTTTCATAAAGTACCCTCTCTCTCTCGATAAGTGTATGTTGGCCTCCAACCTCCTGAAGGCATCTATGGCAACGGTACACTTCCATTCTCAGATAAAGGGTAATGGTCTTAATGAGAGATCTTTGATGACGCTGAATAGCCTCGCGAAAGCCTTCAAAGTTTGACTTTGAAATCCAGGGTCGGAAGGTCAGCTTCTGCCAGAGCAGCGGTTCGAAAAAGCTCTGCCATTCTTTCGAAACACTTGCGTAGAGGGCGATGGGGAGGTCTTCGAGATTTAAAATGTTTGCCAAGCATTCCAAAATCATATGTCGGAGCTCTAGTGAAAGACCTGTCCAGCGAGGACTTTTGATGTTTTCTCCTTGAATTGCGATGTCCTGTAAGGTTCCGTGAGATGGAAGCTGCATCATGGTAGAACGTTATTGTTGTATTCCATGCCTGGGACGTTCCTGGTCATGGTAGAACGAATGTTAGAACGAGATTTGGTAGGTAGAAAAAGTCGGGAAGCGAGTGGCGACTGGTTCGATTTGAGCCTTTAATTATCGATGGTAAGAAGATGCAAGCCGAAGTCCGTTCTGTATTTGACGTCCTATTTGTATTTTCCTATAGAGGCCATCAAGGCCCCCAAACTCAGTCAAAATACCTTGTTGGAGGTTTCCCTGTTTTCCTCCACTTACTTCCTAGGTCTCGCTGAACTCTCCATTAAGGTGGCGTTCTAATGAGCATTACGAGAGTAGAGAATCGTATACGCGGTAATGATCGCCAAACTCAAAGCCTCAAGAACAACAAGGTGGAATTCCTCTCGTCTATATATCTACTGGGAAGCAAAGTTGGCCTAGAAGACAGGACCTTCTGGTCCGAGATGAAATGGAGCATCCAGCTGGCCTAGCCCAAACCAGGGTGAACATGACGCGTGAATGGACATCGGCCCTTGTGTTTCCCAACCAATCCTTAAATACGGAAAAGGTTAAGTTCCGGCTAGGATGGCCGCTCTTCGTGGTAAGTAAGCTTGCTGCGATGCTGACCATCGCTAATCCATCGGAGAAACGGGCTTAACCTTGATGTCCACCGGATTAACTACAGTAGATTCTCCAGACTATTATCTAGGGTATCTACTGCTAGTCATGGTAAAATAACTGTCTACATGCCTATGATAGTTACTCGTTTTTACGCCTAATGACCGAGAATTATTTAACCTTATTATTTATTAATATATATACATATATATGTATAGCAAGCAGTATATTATAGTTGTAAGGATATCGCCGATGGGGCGCCTTATAAGGTTATATGTGGTGTAGTTCTGGCATGTAGTGCCAGAACTGGCGGGTCTTTTGGCAGTTGCTAGAATAGTCTATTGTTTAGGCGTAGCACACCACCTAAACCTACTACAATTGTTCTGGCGCTACCTGGGTCTTCTGGCTGTAGGGACAGGGGTTGGGTTCGACTCCCGCCTGTTGCCGAGGCTTCTTAGTGTGTAGGCGCCACCTCAGAGAGGTAGGGGCTGGAGGTTGGTCGGCAACAGGTCAGGCTGTAGGGCGACGGCGTGCAATTACAGCTGGTCACACAAGAGTTAGAGGGGGTGTGCATTAGAGAGATACCTGACAGGGGCGATAAAACTTGGGCCGGTACCCATAGGATCTCCTTTCCCCGCTGATTCGGCCAAGCCCGTTCCCTTGGCTGTGGTCTCGCTAGATGGTCGATAAAATTAATGGGGGGATCTCGTTAATCCATTCATGCGTATCACTAATCACATGACTAACGAGTCCTTTTGTCTACCTCAAAAGCTTTCCGCCCATCCTCCCTCACCAGAGGCCAGACTACCTCTTAAGCCTGACCGTTACAGTTCATCCTATGAACGACTCCGATATCCCTCTTTTGCTAATTCTAATATTTTGAGTGTACCAAATCATCAAGATGCACCCTCCTATTCTACAGTCATATTTTATTTTTGCATGGAGTCTAATTCTTCTAACCATCAAACCTGCCGCTGCAGGACCAACCGCCCACGACTTTCAGAAACGTGACTACGCAGACGTGTATGATAAGGTTTACCAGTCCGTACAAAGTTCAGTGGCGTGCAGCCCTACGCAAATGAGGGTAATTATGGAGGGTGTTCGGGAGGCACAACAACTCGCCAACGCAGCTTCTAGAGCACTGCGAGTCAGAGGTAGTGAAACATCACTGGCTTTTAACATCTGGTTTGGGAAAAGTAGGTATCCAAGGTATAGGGGAAACAAGATGAAGAAAAAGAGCGCTAATAATAGACGTCAGGTAACGCTTCTCCCCAAATGGTCGATAGGCTCATCAACTATCACTACTTGACGGCAGGTTCGCATTTGCCAGCCCCAACTCTTCAGATGAAGATGTCCTTTGAAGGCCGGGCTCGGTATACACCGCAAAACGGTGCCCCAGCACCAGGACTCGACTCTCTACTTTATGTGTGTCCGTCTGCCGCCAGCCCACTAAGTGATATGTGTGGTAGCAGCAATGGTGAATCTGTTGTGGCTAGGGTTGTAACCACTCACGTCGCGAACAGACACCGCGTAGGGCCTACGGTACTTATAGTATGTCCCGCTTTCTTCAGCAGAACGGGCCCAACCAATGCCGAGATGGTGAGATCCTATCGACAGAGTATCGATACGCAAAATTTCTCAAAAGGCTTTTTCTTGCTTCACGAGCTTCAGCACATGCCGAAAGCAACGTCTCCCGACCCCCCTGCCGAAGACATGCCGGATCCTCGTGATCCCAGCCGTGACTGCTATTCAGTACGCTGGTGAGTCGTTGTAATTGATGGATTAATCACGCATCTTATAGCTGACCATTTGCTGTTTAGCTGTCCCATGCTGCAACATAATCAAAAGATCAGAAACGCCCAAAACTTTGCATTCTTTGCTCTCGACGCTGTCGCATTCCCACAGTATGCAAAGCCAGGATCCGCATCACCCTCATCATGATCCATCCTTATTAAGTCGGATCTGCAAACATTGTGAATAAGATGAAGACGACAGGCGGGGGGTTCATCCACTACAGCGAGGTCGACCACAATGTTGGTACGTTGCAACGAACACCACAAGACCAACCAAATCAAGAATTATTAAGGGATGGTAATATGGGACGCAAGAGGTTCCCGGTGAAGGAAATCGGACCCCTCCTAAAAGTTAACTACTAATGTCTGGTTTGGGGTAATGAGAGTAAGAGGCGACGACGGTGAACGAGAAGAAGAGCGGAAAGAAACGGCCCGCAGCCGAGAGCTATACTCAAAGCGCCCCCTTCTGGGCGAAAGCTGGGGTGATCAAGGGTGGCGGATCGGCGGCAAGATGGCCGCCCTCGTGCACTACGGGGAGGTAGGAGTCTGTAGTCAAGGCGACCATTGGGCGGGGCATCTGAACATGTTTTGTGACATAAAGCTGAGATAGCTTTGTATTGCTAGTACTAGTGGTGACTGCTACACCAACGCCACAGGCGAATGGACCAAACTCAACCCCCGGTAGGTCCTGTATAGTGATCACTTTATCTTATTGGTGCGTAACTTGTACCGTAAATCTATTGTTCCTAGGGAGTCATCTGTTCTTGCCCTGTGGCGATTCCCATAAAGGCCGTGCCGCCTGCGACGCCGCCTGTTTCTTGTTGGGGCGTAACACACTCCTCTTGCTCTAGCAGGGAACCTTGCTGCAGTCGCAGCACGCGAAAGCGGCAGTGCATCCACCCTTACAATCCTGTATATCGAATAGATTAGCATGTATTTCAAACAGAAAGACTTTCAACTTCTTAGGTTTGACATAGTACGTACACTGCAGGGGACTGTAGAACCTTCTGCGGTTAAAGTAGTACAAGTAAGACCTTCAAACTGGCGACTTTGTAGAGCGTCTGAAGGAGCGGCCGCTGTGAGCTGCAAGAGGCACGCCATAGCGAGAACGGAGAAAGATTTGATGGAGACCATTTTGTGACTGTTGTGGAGTTGTACTGGAATTGACGAATGTTGATGGACCAAGAGCTAGAAGTAATGGGGAATCTTCACGGGTTATATATAGGGAACACTACAGTATTTATAGCATGCTATATGTCTTAAAGTTCTGACCCTTTACTATCTTCCCTATGGCCATAAGTCAACCATGACTCGTAATGTTACAGAGCCCGGCCATAGAACCAAGAAGGTTACACTTACTACTACGTAGCTACGCCCGCAATTTAATAGTATTTCTTGCACGGTTGCAAGCACTTGTGGGCCTCTTGGCTAGGTTATTTTAGTTGGTAAGAGTCGTGTACTTGAGCGGCTGTTGTCGCTAGATATCGTTTTCAGCATTCTGTTACAGAACTGAAACTGGGTCAATATTAAATGCTACTAAGCTCTGAACTTTAGCCCCTGAATTACTATCTGGTACATTCATGTAGGGTGATCAAATTGCCACAGCCCCACGTGTGGTTAGTGAGATTTAAACCAGCCTAGTGTCTTAGTTGTGTAACACGTTAGCTACACACTACTTAGGCTCGGCGCATTAATATCTTCTAGGATGATCTCGTATTAGGCAGCCTGGGGGTAAGCCTGTTGTCAAACGCGCGGAAATGACACGGCGGATGGCCGGGGAATTGGCGGTAAATCGGCCCCACTTCCCCGGTGGATTGGGCCAATCGGAAGCCAGCAATTCACCAGGGTTTCCCCACGAAGCGAAAGCTTCGTCTGGGAATTTCCGAGCAAAGCAGCGGTTACACACACGTACGGATACACAATCAATCAATACACACGTGAATAACCTTTATAATCCCTACGGTTCGACACCTGTAGTTATAACCATGTCGTCTAGCACTCCCGGTCGGACAAGACTCGCGGGCATACTTCACTTGGAAACGAAGGCTTCTCAGTGGGACATGCATATAGCGCAATCAGGTTGACAGTGAGTTGCAAAGGCACTGTGTGCTTGTATAACCCGCACTCACTAGCTTGTATAATGATAGGGGAGCAGAAAAGATCCCAAGTTTCTCGGGAGGCATGGATGTCTTTGATAGTCTGATGAGGTGAAGCTGGCTATGATGAGCCAGCTTGTGCGACCCTGGAGCGCGCATGATTCAGCTGCACATTCTGTCACAATATATAAGCTACTATTACTGCCCATGTAACTAACAGTATCGTTTCATTATGTGACAGTTATAAGCCCAGCTCCTACCTGCTATGCCATGATAGTATATGTGTTAATTTAAGTGCAATGACTAGCTATAGATCTTAAGCACTGTAGGTTTGATTCCTATTAGGGTCCCCTAGTCAAAAATCCTACTAAAGTCTATACGGATCTTTACTACCTATGATTAGCGAGATGTACCCAACTAGGTTTTTATTAAAAAGTGTGTTCAGATCTGACTTTCTAGGTCAAATCTGGGGGGTATGTCACGATATATAAGCTACTATTACTGCCCACGTAACTAATGGTATTGTTTTATCATGTGACACATGTATAATTGTAAGTCTGTCATGATCATCTATTTGCTATCGTATAAAGTCATCACTGAATCCCAAATGTCATTAGAAGCTGCATTACGTGTTAGTGCCAAAGTTGTCGTGGTTGACTGCAGTGTCGAATATTCTTAGTAGTCTCGCTCTAACCACGGAGCACAGGCGTCGTGTAACTTTTGCAAAGCAGGTGCTTGTTCAACAACACGCTGGTAGTGCTTTGGGGTATACTTTTTCATAGTTTCCAGCAGGCCGACGTAGATAAAGTCGGCATAGGAGACTAAGGTTTATTAGCATGTTCTCGGCTGGTCTAGGACGTTCCAAATCACCCTGCTTGCCGAGAAAGAATGGCCCTGCCGTCTTGTTCAGCTGAGCGGAAGCATCGTCGATCGCCTGCTTGGCCTTGCCCCAGGCCAATTCACCGCCGTACTTGTCCTCGAATTCGTAAATTGTCATCCCTAGATCCTTCTTTCTCGTATCCCAGAAAAAAGGCTGGCTTTTCTCACCGAGAATTGTTCGGTAAACCTCGGGCATCATTACGGGCTGCAACGGACCCCAGAGCCTCCTCATGAGTTGCGATGCGGCCTGCGCTTCCTCGCTGTCAGGTCGGAGTGGCTTATCGGGATATCTCTCCTCGAGGTGTTTGATGATTTTCGCGCTGTCCATGACATACGTTCCGTCGGGAAACTTGACCGCAGGGCAAGTGTGGGTTGTTTGGTCGTCAGCCCAGGGCTCGACGCCTGTGGCTTCGAGTCTACCCTTGATATCCGGGTACTCGAGCCATTCAGTTTCGTAATCTATGCCCTTGTAATTCAATGCCAAGCGGGCTGAAACATCTGTCAGTCAGGAGGATGTTTATGGTAAGACATTTGCCTCACTCTTGAAGACGTTGAAGGACCATGCCCGTCCATTTTTGTCAGGAATATCAAAGAGAATGAGCTTGCCACTCATGATGGATTCTGCCACGTGCGGATCTCGAAGAAAATCTTTGCAATGTAGTTGTAAAACGTGAATGGAAATATGGAGTAAGCGCTGTTTATGTCGACGTTGAAAGGAATGAGATATGTAGCCAGATAAGAGATGGAGAAGAGCGGAGACGTCACACATCATAGGCGGACAGCGTTGCTGTACCCCTCTTGCTGACATGCACAAGTGCTATCGCATCAACCAATGCTGGCTGACTCATTCTGCATTTGTCACGAGGTGATATAAGGCGTTAGTTGTGCTGTCCGCAATTAACGGCGTATAAAAAACCATGCCTTCAAATCTACCATTTAGGATGACTGACGAGATGCTGGCTTCGCTAATCGGGCCAAGCACCCACCTGCTTCCATCCGTTGCTCCATGTCCAAGCCATGATCGACGCGTTCAACGGCCGTTCAACGGCCGTTTGTTATATTGGTCCAGCGAACTGCTACATCCGCCATCGGGATCACTTGCGCTTTGTCTATGTCGTGGCTCTTCCCGTCTGCCCTTTCATTAACAACTTCAATATCGTGCTGCCTTAATATGCGAATAAGAAGTGCTTTGATCACTTGCGCAACAATGTATTGTCCTAGGCACTTCCGGCTGCCGAATCCAAAGATGGCCATCTTGTATCGTAGCTGTAGCGTTGATGAAAAGAGTCAGCAATAACTAAGTATATAGAAGGCAACAATGAAGATCTTTGGATTCACAAGTACTTACATCTGTTATCTTGATATTCTTGAAGCTGGATAGCTCAAAGTCCCTGCTATAGTCGCTCCGATATGGGTTCCGAACGTTGATGGCCAGCATGTCGGCCAGAACCATTGTCTAGCAATACTTTAGTCTCCAGCCGAGGAATGACTTTGATGAAGGGTAGACTTCGAAGGAATTACCCAAGTCCGGATTGACGAGAATTCAGTCCGGATTGACGAGAATTCCGTCGAGATTGCTGACTAACAGCGAACTCTCACCGATCTTTAAAACTACATGCATGGCACAAACCTTGGTCAGCTTTTCTGTCTTTGATGGTGGAGAAGGAAGACCCAAATGGACTCAGAGTCCGTCTTCTCTCCCACGCTGCCCGTAATGCCGCTGCTGGAGTTTCCCGCTTCCTTCGACACTTTCGGAACGCGTTAAAGGGTTTGATGGACTCTAGCCATGTTCATGTCCAAGATGCCCGAAAGGGTCTCCTGGATGGTAGTGAGCTGGCCGCTCTTAGTCGAGCGCTCACGGAAAAGACACGCCACAGCGATCCCAGGACAGTCAAGGATAAACTCGAGGGTGCGGCTACCAGATGGCCAGGGGTATATACCGTTGACTCCACACAAGATGGCGACATATTTTATTAGGGGTCATGAGGCATCTAATAAGCTAGCCTCTGCAATCAGGGATCATATGAATGGAATGGCACCCAGAAACGCTGTTATCTGCGTATTAACCAATCGAACGCTCCACTAGATCGTAGCTAATGTAGCCGTCATTAAGGCCGAGTGTATGTGTTGCCCGCTTGGTGTGACTCTTCTACAAAGGCGCATAGAGCCCATAATCCAGCAAAGCGGAGCTTCCATTTTTGTGTCGGCAAACCGGGACTGTATGTCGACTATCAAATTCCTGAAACAAGATAACGTTCATGAGAGTGATATCTGCATCGTGGTTGACGAGTTTCTGCAAGGCGCGCAGGACCCGGCTCCAGTTGAAACCGTCACGCAATCTGTCGACGTGATCTAGTTGGTCTTCTGGAACTACCGGAGTTCCAAAAGGTACGTTCTTCCGTTCAGGTTCGTTCATCAACGTGAAAGGCCGGCAAATTACGTACCAAGTGACCGGAAACAGGACGTGTTTCATTGCATAACCTCAAAATTCTTAACTCGATAGCGAACCCGGGAGTCCGATTCTTCGCAGGATCTGGTCGCCGAATCACCCAGATCTTCTCACCGGGCAAGACATCGGTCAAACGAGACTGGAGTACCCACAATTGACATACATAGATGACCTAACATCTACTTTCAGAGTTCGACATTGCCACGCTTGAGATGTTTAGCACGCTATTCTACGGCGGTACCCTCTTGTTGAAATAGCGGACGGATCCGTTCGAACACCTCAAGCGTGGCCACGCCGCCCTCGTGACCCCGTCGGTATTTTCGGCGTGCCTCCCATCCGAACATCTGCTTCTTGACATGATCGTGGTTGGAGGTGAACCTGTGCCGCAGGCTATGGCTGAGATATGGGGATCTGGTTGGACTTTGATCAATGGTTACGGCCGAAGTGATAAGTCTCCGTCCTCTTCGTTCCCTTTGTCAACATTCTTGTCCACCTCTTTTGCATTCACTGACACGAGGCGGGTGCTTCTGCAGTGCGGATCAATTTCAACAACCAGTAGACTCCTGCCTGGTCACAAATTGTCCATTGGTCGCGAGCTTCCGCAAGTAAGCGTATACGTCCTGGATCACCGCCAGTGCCCTGTTGCTCAAGGGGTCACAAGTGAGATTTGCGTCTCAGGCGAGCAAGTGACCCGCAGGTACTGGGGAGTCAGCAAGCAAAACAACAAGAACGACACGTGCTCGACCCTTTCGCATAGTCTCCGGCCCATAAGCTTATGTACCGACCGTACCGATTACCTTGGGTACTGGGACGAAGAGATGAACCTCAACTACTTCGGCCGCATCGGCAACCAGGTCAAGGTGCGCGGATTCAGAGTCAAGCTCGAAGAGATCGGACATGCTGTCTCTACCGCGGCCGATATGGACCCCAAGGTGCAAAACGCCGTCGTTATAACCATGAACGATGACCCTCAGGGGCAAACAGAAGACGAAAAGCGCCTAGCGAGCTTCGTGACGTCTCAGGACGTCGGTCTCACGGCCTTGCGCTCAAAAATTGCCGCCGTGTTGCCCAGCCACATGCAGCCGTTGCAGTGGGTGACCCTCTCGGAGCTTTCTACAACGTCCAACTACATGGCCGAACGGCGAAAGCTCGCAAACATGGCAATCTCCCAGTGGTCTGGCACCTAATGCGGTGCCAGTGGCGTCATGATCCAGGATGGCAAAACAAGACTGGCGACAACGGAGAGAACGATCAGTAAAGTCTGGAAATAACTGCTCCACTTGGACCCTAACACTCCAATGCAGAAGGATCAGGACTTCTTGACGATTGGAGGAAACTCATGTCTGGCCATCAAAGTTGCACGGGAGCTGGGCTTGTCGGCCGGTCGCCATATCCCGGTGGCTCTTCTTCTGCGGACCACGGTCCTTGAAGAACTGGCGCGTGCCATTAATTAACACTAGAGACTATCTCCTGTGACGAAGCCCGAAACACAATCGTTTTCTACGTATGTATCATCCCAAGATGAATAGAATATCCAGAACGGTACGAGGTCTAACCCAGCACCTCTATCATATATGGAGGAGGAGCTGTTTCACTCCCACATAGAATCCGGGACGAGGTCACCTTTCAATACTGTCATTTAGTTCGCTCTCGGCGTCATCGATACGGACGCCCTCGCCGAGACCTTCAAATTCGTTCAGCGCGAAAACCCCATCATGTGAGCTCGGTATGCCGTGGATGCACAGGTCAATCCTTGCCGCTTTACAACCGAAGATCTTACCAGCGCACAATGCGATATGTGGGATGACGTAAAGATGCAGGCTCTGTCCGAAACGCCCTTCGATCTAATCAGAGGCCAGCTGATAAGGATAGTAATCTGGAAATGAAGCAACTACAGTGTCCGCAGAGACGGTGCAGCGAAGGCTGTGGAGATCACCTTTATCATACATCATATCACAACCAACAGAGCCTCGCTTATGTTGGTCCTGCAGGCTTCAGCGAGTAAATGCAACCAACCCCGCTTCTCAAGTGATTGAAACCTGGTTGAAGTGGGGTGGGACAAAGTACAGATGTCATACATATGCCTGCGTTCAATTCGGGGTTTCTACTTTTCATTTGCTTCAACTTCTTCGAGAAACCAGCCCGCCGTTGTTATCGAGATCCGCCCCAAGACCCAAAGGACTTTCAAGAGGCGCTCCACCATCATGACTGAGCTCAAATTAATGCAGTTGGACATATTCACTGTCCTGAAGTGTTCTGCAGCTCTTTTCGTGTCTTGGTACATCATCTCCTCCATCATCGCATGGTACAAGCTGAGACACGTCCCGGGTCCTTTCCTGGCTAAGTTCTCCCACTTCTGGTCCATCTACCACTATGTCACCGGTGACATTGGCTCTATTTACCTCAGCCTGGAGAAATACAACTCACCTCTGGTCCGCACCGGGCCTCACTACATGGTGACCTTAGACCCGGACGTCTGGAAGCAGGTCAATGGCGCCCGCAGCACTTACCAGCGCGACCCGTGGTGGTCGGTCAACCGCATCGACTACAACAGGCCCTCCTTGGCAGACACACTGGACACGGTATCCCACGATAGGGTCAAGGCCAAGGTGGCGAGCGGCTACAGCGGACGAGACGTCGACCTCGAAAAGATCATCGACATCCAGATCGCCAAGTTTGCCGACATGATCAGGAGGAAGCACATCACCAGGGATAAGACCGACTTTGCCGATCTCAGTCGCTTTTTCACGCTTGACGTTATCACTAGGCTCGCCTACGGAAAGGAGTTTGGCTGGGTGGAAGCCAGCGAGGACCTCTACGGGTACGGCGCGGATATCAACAAGCACGCGGCACTGGCTTCCCTGATCTCCGACGTTACGTGGCTCCATCCCCTCATGCGCTGGAATTTCATCAACAACAGGTTCAAGCCGAGCCCAACGGACAAGTATGGTGTGGGCAGAGTCGTCGGGTATGCTGCAGACAGCTTGGCCCTCCCGTTTTCTTCGCCCAGCTAACGACAAATATGATCAGAATCGGCCGAGAAGAAATTCGAAGACGCTTTGAAGTGGATGAGAAGGATGCCAGAGACATGGTGGGGTCTTTCATGCGTCATGGGCTTAGCGTTTCCGAGATCGAGGACGAGGCCCTGATTCAAATCTTCGCTGGTTCCGATACGACTGCCACTGTCATCCGCTCTGTCATGTTGCATTTGATTGCAACACCAAGAGTTTGGTAAGTGCTGCTAAGAAGAGACATTTTTATTAGAGAGCCATGTGGACTAATCAGTTTGAACCTTTAGTATGTTTTAAACCCGTCCGCAATCCTGATCCAACAAATCAGTGTCCACTGCAACAACGCAGTCGAGATCATAACGGACAGTGTGTAAATTCACTAACTCTCATTTTTTAGATATGCGCCTCAAGACCGACATCAAAGATGCTCTTGCCAAGGGGAGTGTCTCGGTGCCCATCACCCTCGCGCAGGCACAATCCATGCCGTACCTCCAGGTGCGTACAACGGTTTATCCCGTAGCCCTCTTTCACCCACTCGGTATTATTACTAGGAGTGCAATACTCAGCAAGTTGCAAGTAAACTAACACGTGTATTCTGTCGTAGGCTGTAATGTGGGAAGGGTTTCGCATGCGGCCGGCCGTGACGTACGGCCACTACAAAGTGGTGCCCCCAGGCGGCGATACGATCGCCGGTATATGGGTTCCAGGCGGGACGGCCATCGGACACTGTCACTACGGCATGATGCGCAACAAGAAGATCTTTGGCGAGGACGTTCACGTCTTCCGGCCCGAGCGGTACCTGGACTCGCCGAACAAGGAGGAGATGCAGAGGACGGTGGAGCTAGTCTTTGGCACCGGCCGCTGGATGTGTATTGGAAAGCAGGTGGCGCTCATGGAGCTGAACAAGATCTTCTGGGAGGTGAGTTTGGCCAGCTGCTATCGCTTTTGACATCCGTTCTACATGATACCCCTCGAGAGAGATGGGGGAGAGTTGAAATTCCTGACCACGGGCTAATCCATGTTGAATGAGCAGCTCTTGCGCCAGTTTGACTTCCAGCTCGCAGAGCCGCACAACGCCGGATGGAAGGAGACGACGAACATTGTTTTCACACATAGTGACATGTGGATCAAAATCACCGAGGCCATGGATGTGTAGATTGTATCATTTGGGTTTCCGTCATGCATCGCTTGGTTGAAAGTCAGATTTGTATGAGGGCATTCGAGGAATATAGATGCTGTTTGTTTTGCCGGGAATACACCAAACGGATACAGCAAGAAAAAGACGTCTCCCGAGAATCAAATTCCTATCATGACAGTCATTGGTTGCCTTAGACTAAGGTGTCTTGGTCCCCCCACCCCTCGACCCCCCGGGTAAATATGCAGTAGGCAAAATCTCAACACTCAAGTTATACATGTTTATATGCTCCCCTCCACGGGCGTTTTCCCGTCCCAGCAGTATACTCCGTACTTGAAACATGACCATTTGTCGGACAAGCTCCGGTCCAATCACCTTGTCAAAATGACACTTGCTTGCGTCCTTAGTGGATGACTACTGAAGTAGGTATGAACAGCAGCGAATTGTGATAATACCACACAATATTTTATGCTTACGGGGTCTCCTGTAAACTGGTACTAAGCAAGATCTTTATGCTCTTCGCGCGCTAAATCTCCGAGTCTTCGCTGCCCAGGAGCCCACTCGTCTCGAACAAGTCACCCAGCGAAATCGTGTGTCTACCAGCCTTGGCCACGTACTTTGAAATAGAAACAGTAAAGACAGCACCGCTTAGTCTAGGCCCCTGGCGCCTCGTGGAATCGACCTTCCCCAGCATGACTTCCAATCATTCTAAGGCCACCCCTTTCACCCACTGCGGCCCCGGGCCTAGCGTGATACGACAGAATATAGATCTGGCAAAATAATGCCCAAAGTAAAACACCTTACTGTCAACTAAACATCACAAGTCAATCCGCTGCCCAAGTCATTGCAGAGGCCTTTGGGGGGGGGGGGGGGGGGTGATATGGGATTTGGAGTTTGTAGTGTTAGTGCTGATGAGGAAAGCAGTTCTTATCGTTACAAGTGGGAAGTCTTTCTTCTTTTTATGATGCTACAAGTAAAGCCATTTCTCTTTTTTTTTTGTAATATCTCAAAGCCTAGCACTAGATAGCTCACAAAGGGCAGCGACCAGTGAAATAACCCCCCAGTTTTCTTTGCCATATTGAATGTATATTATAGATAGTGTACTAGCCTAGTCATAATATATATCACAAGGTTATCTATAATTAAATAGGAATGAAACTGAGGCACTAGTTTTGATCAATGATAAAAATTACCTAATGTAGTCCTGAAAATGAAGTTGTGTAACTGTATGAGTAGCAAACCACGTTCTGGCTGCCGTTCTCTAGACAACTGCTTATATTTTGACCATTATGTCCCCACACATTTCTCAAACTGTACGCTTTGAAAATGTGGTATATAGTAAAGGTGTCACGAGGTAAAGCACACACAGTAAGGTATATAAGAGTAGGACCAAGAAAGGCTTATTCTTATGAAAGTAGAAATTCAAAGGGAAGATCCTATAACTATGTAGTTAAGTAATGTAAGTAATGAATGAAACGTCACATGATTTATGGCACATGATAATCCACTTGACAGGTGCTGTGTCAAGCTATCGTGACAAAAGGACTATCATGACGTGGAGAGAGTCCTTTGAAGCTTAGTTATGTCTCTAATGCGTATGTCTTGAAATATCTTGTTACTTGGCCAATTTCTACCCTCGTTGTCGTAGTCATCTTCATCGATGTCAACAGCCTTCAAGTTTGAATTAAGCTTAGTCTAGGCTGTCACAACACGTAAGGCGTTAATTGTCGAATCACGGGCGTCGTTTTTGCGACATATGTCCCTTGGAGCAAGCTGTGCTTTGTAAGGTAGCAACGGATGACAGGAATCAAAACGCATGTATAAAGGAATAAAGAAAACGGCCATGGCTGAAGGGGATTAGAAACCTTTACGGGGCAGACTAATGAAGGTTATTTGTACTCTTGTACATGACTCGTGTATGAGACAATCAGTGTGTCAGCCAACGTAGACCTATAGCAATTCTATATCACTCACACGATATGTAACTATAGTTGAATCGCATCAAGCCTTAGCTTTTATGCCTCCCGCGTTCACATACCTATGTTTCGACCCATTTCTCTGCAACAAAGATGCAGTGTCGGCGAGGCCGCGATGATGCCAAGGCCCCTGCACGTTAGAGACGGAAATCTATAGCGGGGGGGGGGGGGACCCGGGCTGTAAGGCTGACGATCCTGATAAGTCGCGCGCGGCGTCGCGACTTTGTCATCGTTTGTAGGAGGCGCAACCATTTTGTAGCCTGATAGCGCAGAGGCTGGTGCGGAAGGTTTGCCAATAACTTCATTTGCATCGGCCAGTAGAGCGGGTGGTTTGGCACGGCTGTGATGGCTAGTCCAGTGTTTTCCGGCTGCACACCTCATACTTGGAGTTGGATGCTGACCAATGAGCAGCTACGGATTTTGTTACTATTCCTCGTAGTATTATAGCCAGTGTATGTGATATGTAAATGTACTCTATGTCTAACGAGTTTACGACATTGTCACAAGTGAAGGTTTCAGACCCCGGTTCCCTGGCTTCGGGAACATTGCCTTGATTGAGGAGTTAAGCGGGCTGTCAAGACAGCTGTTATTCGAGTCCTAGTTGTTGCAGGTTGAGATAAAATCGCCTTGCCGAGTATCCGGTACCGTGGAATCGGACCATTGACGGTGCTTGGCGATTTGTGGGTATCCCCCGCCTAGGGAGTCACAGGCCAGGTAGGTATAATCAAACGACTGACTTTGTACAAGCACAATTTTGGCTTACCCGTCAGGGATCACAGTAAGCTGGAATAACTCGTTGGATATTACTGTACATTGAAGAATCAAATGAGTACATACAGACCCCTCTTTCCCATTATAAAAGGGGTTTAAGAACGTGCCAGCAGTCATAGGTTTGCATACTTTATCACTTCCACTTCTCAAAAATAACAAGCAGGGCTCGTTATCCAACTATCCATTTTTCTTCCTCATTTCTCTGTGTTTCCAAGTTCAAACAAGGATTTATCTTTCCTTTAGACCAATCCTTTTTCAAAATGCGCGTCTTCGTCATTATCAGCGCCTTGATGGCGGTTGCAGTTACCGCTGCTCCGACTCCCTGCGTAAGTCCATCCATAGTTGAATTTGAACCAGCTGCCAAAGTACGAAAAGCTTACGCAATGCTTAGAACGAATACACTTGCCAGAAAATCCCTCCTCCAGGCGGCGATGACAAGCCGGACGTTGGGCCTGGGGATTTCATTAAGGCTTTCATTCCTTAGATTGTTGGATGGAAGTCCAGCTCGGAAAAAGACGTGACGTGTAGGGAAGACTGTTCTCTATTGCATCAAAGTGGTCTTTTGGCGGGTTTTGTAAGACAGGAAATGCCCGATGAAGCTGTGTTGATACAAGTGGGCGGATCGAGTTATGGGCCAGCTGGAGGCTGCGAGCGGCGACGGGTGATAGCCCTTTGCCAACCCTACTGCCAATCGGCTTCTAGACAGTGACTCCTTTGGTCCGCCGACTACATCAAACTTTTATCGTCACTATATTGACCTGCTGTCTATACGGAACCTATTCAAGCATTGTACACTATCCGTACCAGTAGACCCGCTGGCCAGGTGCTTATGCGCTTGAAAATCACCACCATCGAAGCGTCAAAAGAATTGCCCGTATTCACCGGCTCAAGCGGCCTTCCTTGCAACTGCCACTTGTGCAGCTTGCTGAATGGTTTTACCAAGAGTCTCGGGCATGCTGAGGAAAGGTGAATGGCTAGCTGTAAGAGTAGCAGTGAAGGAACTGGCTGGGAATTGGGACGCCATGTCGATTTGCTTGTCCAGAGGTATAACCTGGTCGTCCTCTGCGAAGATGTAGCCCATCTCGAAGCCCTCATTCCATGGCTCAAACCCGGACTTATCTTGGAATGTCTTGCCAGGCTGGGGACATAGGGCGACGGCTGCCTTGGTAGCGAGGGAAGGCTCAACGTCAGCGTAGAATATCGGGATTGGGTCTCGGGGTGAGACAAAACCGTCCTGTAATGTGTAGGTAATAAGAGTCAGCCACGTCGTGGTCCTGGATGCGGTTTCTCCTGTCTCCTACCTTAACATCCAACCACGGCTTCAGTCCCTCGCCATCAGAATCAGATAGACTCTCATCGGCCGGGACAGCGAAAGAGGCCACGTAGATAATCATAAGAACGCCACCAGTCTTCTTTTTGGCAACACGGCATTTGTGATTGAGACCTTCGACGGCGTTCGCAACGGGGATGCCGCCATAAGAGTGTGCCACCACGACAACCTCCCGCCCGGCATCAATGAGTCGCTGCAGCTCGGCGCGAACAGCGTCTGCGTCTTGACCAAGCCCAGCGTTCACGTCTGTGCTACCGACGCTGGGCAATGAAACAGCCGCGGTGGGGTAGCCCCGACCGGCGAGGTCGTCGCGCACAAGGTCGAATATCCAGGGCTTATGCCAGGCGCCGGGGATGAAAACGATGGTGGGGAGCTCAGAAGGCATGACGTTGGCGGTCGCTTGGGTGATGGAGATGACCGCAGTGGGAATCGAGACTTACGCCGAGGAGATGGCGGCAGAAGTGAGAGTCGAGGTTGAGGGAAAGTTCTCGTCCAGAGAGTGTGGGACGTCATTTAGCCGCTTTGACCTTGTGTATGGGTCTCAAATGCGGCATTCAGACTTCAGAGCCCAGGCGATTAGTCAAGTAAATGCATTTTCTCTCTTTCCTTTGTCGCTAAGCAATCGGGCAGCTATGTTTCTTCAACGCATTAACGCAAGTTATTCTTCATCAAAGTTGTATAGCGCTATCAACACCAGGGCGATGCCACGATTGTGAATTCATCCGCCGTATCACATATGAGCCCATGATAATGCTCCCTGTGCCTCATGCCTGAAAAATGGAGGTTTCCGAGAACCATACTTTGACAAAATAGGAATTTTACCCAATTTGTTGTATGAACTTGAAATCTGCTCTTCGTCGGCGTTTTCCTGTATTATGTGGAAGAATCGCCTGCTGACAAGTAATAACCATCACAGAGCTAACGCATTACTCATTATGAGAATGTGAGTGCTTTTTGCTATCGACGCTATCTCGCCAGAAGTCATCTGGGATGCCAGCGACAAGAAGCTAATATAGCCATTGTGTGAGAGGTGAAATTTTTTTATCACAACGGGGCGTCAGGAACAACACTCCATCATCGTACCCTGCTTATTAGTTGGAAACGGTAGGCGTTCTCACCGAGCTATAAGACCCGAGTAGATTAACAAATGAATATCCATAATCGAAGAGATTCGTTACAGAGGTGGTTCGAGTATCTAAACGCGTCCTATACTGTTGTAAATGAGTTCCAATATAGCTTCTCGTTCTCATGAGGTCTAACTGATAGTTTACTCAGGTGGTAATCATCATATCTTGCCAAAAATATCCAGTCTCGTGAAGGTCTTGCCCTGAGCGAGCCTTCTAATTTCGCAAATAATGCAGGCTAGAATGTTAATATACAACTCTCATTGTAGATAGTCGTAGCTCTACTAACCATGAATAGAAATGAGCTGTATTTGGTCTTTTCGAGGCATGGATTTCTTAAGGCTCACTAGGTGAGGCCTTTGGGTCTAGTCTTCGTTAAAATGGTAATTAGTGCAAGCGGCCATCACCAAAATCTCCATTGTCTATTTTCACGCCACCTTCGCCGACCTTCATCTTCGTCTCCCACCCGATTTCTCACCACAATGAGAACGATATTCAATCCACACGCGCCGATGGTTTAGTGGTAAAATTCTCCGTTGCCACCAAGCAGCGTCGGGGAGCCGGGGGTTCGATTCCCCCTCGGCGCAATGTGCTGGGCTGCCTCCCGAGAGGGCGAGATCTTTTTTCAAGCGTATGCAAAGATTCTCTTTTTCTTGTTACATAGTATTAATAGGTATTTACTTAAGTTCTACTACATATAGATAAGTCCCTATAATACTAAATTAACTAGTTCTATGTATAGTAGAAAGTAAAAATACTAACAACTAGGTGTAATATAATTACACTATAAGGCATTAATGTAATAGGCCAAAAGGGGTACAAGGCCAAAAGCCTATAGATCTAGAGATACTTATATACTCCTCTAGTGTAGGTAGTAGTAGAGTATTACTAGAGAGATTTATTTAGTGGCTAGTAAGTTAAGCCTATTTTAGATTTTACTTAACTAACTAATAAGAAGGTCAGGATTTAGAAAGTTATATAAAGTTAGGTAATATATTTCTTTATGTAGCCTAAAGTAGGTAATTACTAGCTCAATTATAGATAAAGTTAAATTAATTACGCTTATTAGTCTAGCCTTTTGCTTAATAAGTAATGCCCTTATTGTACTCTGTAATAGTAAATCTATACACGTTGCTAGCACTCTTTAAAGGTTAGGTAGAAGGGCTCTATCTTAGGCATCGTAGGCGTCTGTTAGCGATGGTGGATTTATGGCAAAAAGGGCGTTTTTTGCATAGTTATGGACGGCGGCGGTGGCAGTGGTGGCAGTGCCTTCTAAAATAGGCTTAACCATTGGCCGCTGAACAAATCGCTCTGGCATTCTACTGCTGCCCCCTGGTGTAGTAGCAGCCTCGTCGTGACATTACATAAAGTGGAGCAAGGAATATACTCTCTACTCAGAGAAACCTATCTTTTTGCATGTGTTAATTCGCTGGTACTTGCTTTCTTCTTTCTCTTCACTGCGTTGCTGTTACGTTACACGCGTTTGCTGTGTATCTTTGCGACTCCGCCGTGCACCCTCACAAGCCGGCACTCTGAGACCGTTCACCCCATCAGATCCGCAACGGCTGCCAGGAGGGCTGTGTCAATTAATGTAAATGAAATCTTTATAGAATAATTATTTTTAACCCGGCTAATACAGTATGGCACTGATGTAAAAGCTTTAGTAGTTTAGGCATTACATAAAATTTACAACACCGCTTACACCTGGTCGAGCACTACTTAGTCGGCAATTTAGACCTACTGTGACAAGTCTAAAAGTAAGGACTGGGTCGCCCGGGGCTGCTAATGGGTTGATAGATTCTCGTGTCATTTCTAGGTCTTGAAGTGTTCCATATCGATGACTGTTATGGAAGTGCTAGTCATGGCAAAGTCAAAGGGAGACAGATGGCGGTGGCATGTTTGCAAACCGAAGAACCAACCCCCTCCACAACCACCAAGTTCGGTGCCTCGACACGGAACAAGCGGGATGCGCTTGGTGGGGTTGCTTATGCCTATCTCACCGCCTCATTCAGAGAACATGTCTCCCAAGCTAACAAGTCAAAAGACAGCATGCCCCGGGCCGGCTGGCATTGACCGGCCAAACCCTTGAAGCTTCTCTTCCATCGCCACGGCGTACACCGCTAGCTAGCATGCTGGGTATTTTGCTCGTGATTGTGCGGGTACTATGTATGTATTGTGGGGAAGCTAATATGATCGCATGGCATACGTAGTATACCATTCGAGCGAGAGGTTGCACCGAACCAATTCGGCACATGGTTTAGTTAGATCTCGGTAAATCAACCCGGCCCAGTCAGGTCTCCAAGCCTGAATTGGCTGCGGTGACAACTTCTTTCAGCATCTGTTCAACGTTCTTGTGCCATACCCACCAGTGGCTGATAGGCGGTGTCCTAACTTTCTTCTCCGTGACCCCGGAGCAGTAGGTGTGGATTTCGTATAGGGGTTGCGGTTCCCCCGAGGTGGTACGACACCCGAAACCTTAAAAATGTGAAAGAAAGTATGCAATTTTGCTATGCGCTTCCCTAATATTAGAAAACGTTCATTGATGTGATAGCCCATGTAACTTACCACTGCGCAAAATGGCGGCCTAGCAATATTGGACTCAGGGTTAGAGTCTAAATACTGATTCTCGAGAGTAAGGAAAACAAGCATAGGCGACGTTCCAAGCCCTTTTTGAATGATCACGTTAAGGGCTGATCGGATAGGGAGATGGTGTACAATTAAAAACATTGGCAGCCGATGAGCCAACCTGTAAACAGGGGGAAAGGGAATGAATGCACAATGCCTATGCATAGGGCGGGCGTTAACCCGGCTCGCCGACGCCGCGAGAAAGCTTGGCCTACGCAAAGTCCACCTTCATGGGCTGGGAAAAAAATCTCGGGGATCCCGTCATGGAAGCACCCAGGCAAATCGCCCAAAAATAGATAAATTGAACGCTCCCGTACTGGTAGTCCCTCCGCGCCACTTCAATGGGAACTGCGTGGGGCTGTCCAATAAAAAGCATTCATCTCGATGTTCGTCTGATTCGGCGACAATCAGTTGCCGGAACTCGACCCGTTCAAAGGAGGGAATTCCAGATCTACAGTGGAAATGCCAGAGTTGGTTTGGGCGAGATTGCGGGAATTAAGGCTCGAGGGGTTGACAACCCCCTTTTCGGAGGGTGATCTCCACCCCTTGTTAGGAGGGGATTAGGCCAATGCGATGCCACCCTCTGAGCAAAAAGACGGAATTCCGAGCGTTGAAATGCTGTTGTTGTTGTTGTTGTTTTTCGGGCTACCTTCACAGGTTTTGCAACACTTGCCTCATTGGAAGCTCGAGTTCTAGCAGCAACTCGCGGGCTGTGATGAACCTGGTCCATGTTTTGTTTATTTGTCTGCCCAACTCCATGACGCCCCACGCGTAACTAGGTGAACTAATATGGAGTAAGTGGCTCGGCAAGCGGGTAGAACACGAGCCCGGCTGGCTCAAGGGGTCCACCGATCGCCGGTGACGATAATCATTGCCACCGATGTACAGACAACCCTGCTACTCTTCGTATTGACCAGGGCCAGTTGTCTGAACAAAGAATATAAATAATGCTGTCGGTGTCGTCGTCTTCAGCAATCAGCAGCTCCTCCAACCACCAACTCACCAACACACTTATTTTCTAATACTCCAACCTCAACAAACCGCCAACATGAAGTTCGCCGCCATCCTCTCTTCTGCCGCTGTCGCCGCCGCCGCTGCCATTGACAAGAGCAGCACCGTTGAGTTCCGCGTCGGCAAGTTCGCCGCCGGCTGCATCGGCCACAGCACACAGTGCGTGTAAGTTGAACCCCTCGGCACATCATGGAAATCGCAACGCAGGTTTACTAACGCACCTTTTCCAGCGTCGGCTTCACCGTCTACCAGCCCGGCGAGACCATCGGCGTCCAGTGCACGACCCGTGTCTCCGCCATCCCCGGCGCCGGCGGCCCCAACGTTATCCCCGACATCAGGGGCGCCGGGTGCTCAAACTCCTCCCGCACCTTCGACTTCGTCCGCGACGACGGTGCCGCTACCCTCACCGTCTCTCAGCAGGTCAGCCGCCTCAGCTTCCGCAACGGCTCCCACGTCCTCCCTAGCACCGACTTCTTCATCACCAACGAGCCCAACGCCTGGGTCGAGAACTACACCGGCCCCGACTCTTTTGACCTCAAGTCTATTGACCTCAAGTCTATTGACCTCAACTCTGTTGACCTCAACTCTGTTGACAACTCTGTTGACAACTCTGATGACCTCAACTCTGATGACCTCAACTCTATTGACCTCGAGTGAACATCTCGCGGCTCTTGGTCCAAAAGACGAACATTATTCTAATTTCACTGTATATCATTGAACGTTCCCTTGGAGTAGAGGGAAGAAAATATAAGGCATTTGTACTCTAGATAATGCAATGAATCGTTTCTTGATCTTGAACCATTTGAACCTCGGCAACTGTCCCGCAGCATTGCAGGATTTTATCTGGACCGGATTATTAGATGATCCGGTGCCAACGGCTCCACCTACCTGATCAACCACGAAGATAAGTATATCTACGGCGCGGACCAGGTAGTCTCACGTAGAAAAGTGAAGCCACTTTCTTATGACTTTTCCCACCCGAAAAGGTGCATCGTGACAGCACCTTTATGTTTTTGATATATTCCTTTGATATGCCGAAGGATGTGAGTAGATGCCGTGCTGTCTTTTGTTCGCACATCGAACGATGGCTTAACTGTTTGGCTAGTCTCTGCGTGGTCACTGGATAAATGTAACCAAAGTCCCAAATAGGTATTGGAACCAAAGAGAATTGAAGACTTTCAAGCTTCAATAGAAATAAGGTTTGTTTTGAGAGCCAGTGGGAGTCGGCCATAGTCGGCCTGGAACAGAGCGGTGTGATGGTCTTGATCAAATGACCCTAATGCTGTTATTGTCACCAACCGCTTCATACGCTGCTACAAATTGTTATGTTTCTTCCTTGTCCGTCAACTGTTCTTGCGGCCGACAGAATGTGGCTGGAAAATGGAAGCTCGGCCGAGCGGCCTACTGGCTGCTTGATCATTATTAAACTTCACGTCTTGCTGAACACGGATATTCAATATCGATATCCCAATATCTGCAGTAAGTCTTCATTCGATTCGAATCACATCCGTTGGCAATCTTCGTAATGACGCCACAGCTACCAAGCTGTTAGCCATCTCCCCCCCTTCCTGATATTCACAGCCGCGTCACCCAGGAATATCGGACGATGGTGAGAGCAGCCCTATTGTAGACTTCCTATTTTTTTTTTACCAGGGTCAAATATCTACGTCCTTGTTGACCTGGAGGGCTTTAATAAAAAGCTATAAAAGCTTCAAGAGAGGTTGTAGAGGCCAAGCTGGCGTAAGAAAGGCTGACGAATACGTCGCTAGCACACCGTGGTTGCAACAGTGATGATATTTTTTTCAACAACGTAACAAGGTCCCAGGGCGCGGTCACTTCACTGAATGACTCGCGACACAAAAGTATTTTTTGAGAAATACAGAGCTAGGGACACGGGAAGTCCCTCCTCTTTACAAGGTTCAAAACTCCCTGTTTGAGAACGTTAAACGTCTGCACCTTATCGGAGTTAATCTGCACGGGAAACTATGTACTCCCTGCAACTTAGCAGACATTAGTTATGCGCGTAGTTGAGCCTTCACACAAGAGAGGGAGGAGTGGAGTAATAAGATTCACTTAAGGAAGCTTTGAAGACTTTCCGTTAGTTTTCCTTCCTTTAAGGACATAGTTCTGTTGGCAAATAGGCTAGCTAGTGTGTTGTACACCAGTTCCCCTTTTTCGTTTCTTCGCATCCTCTGTGAGAAGGAGGTTTAGAGTAGCAGGCTTGATGACTGAAATCCCCGGGTAATTTAGGCAGTAAAAGGTCACTCTCATTCAGGTACGTAGCTCTTGAATTCTAATCACGGTCAAAATCAAGATTGCATCTTCAGCTGGTAACCTAAGAAGGTAAGTAGTCAACATGTTTGCCAGTCTGATACCCAAGTACCTTAATATCACTGATTTACAGATCGCCCTCGTTATGTACTATTTATCGCTATAACCTTATTAGATAGAATGGGAGGCTTCACTTTCTAATATCACCTGACTAATGCTGGGATAGCATAGAGTTATGTTGTATAACACAGAGTTATCTAGCAAACTGTAATCATAATGTACACACCAGTCTTCAACCTTGTGCGATATAGTTTAAGTTTGAGGGGCATTTCTGACTCCTGCTATCCCGGACTTGGACTTTCTTAACTAACAGGTGGGCGTTATTTAAGTTTCTGATCTCGCTCGTTAGGTAGAACCACAGGCTTGAAGCAATCCGACCTACGCTCCATCGGGACCCAACAGCAACCGTCTCTTGTGGCAACGAACCACAATGAATATAAACCCATCCATCGCCGAAATCTGGTCTCTTTACGCGATCGCCACTATTATGATCGCGTTGAGGGTATTCTGCCGCACGAAAATGGTCGGGGTTTCTGGATACCGGCCAGATGACTATCTGGTTTTCTTTGCCTGGGTAGACACGTCGTGATCCGAGCACCGCTGATAGCGAGATCATCGAGAGAAGCTAACATCAACACTAAGGCTCTCTACACGATTGTATCTACTATGGGGACGCTCTTTGTGCTGGTTGCACGCGGCCAACACACCTCACTGTTGACACATGAACAACGGGAAACAATGCCAGAATCAGAGTTGTAGGTAAACGTGATTGGGAAACCTATCCGAGGTCGACTGTTCTGAACTAATAGCCTGGATCGTCAAGTGCAATATGGCAATATGGCTCGAAAAACTTCATAGCCGGCATGTGTTGCTACGTCACAATTGTTTGGACGTTAAAATTTAATAGTAGGTGCTTCAACCTTTCTCCAGCCAGTCTTCCCATTCGATGCAGAGCGGTTAATAAGGCAAATCCCAAGTGTTATTCTTTTATAAAAGATTGGTCAAGAGCCAATGGGTTGAAAAGGTCTTATTTCCCCTCATGGGGCTGGTTGGATTGACAGCAGTCATCATAGTATTGATTATCTTCCTGACTTGCCGTCCTCTTAACCTTATGTGGCAAATAAGACCAGACCCCGGAGGTAGGTTGCTAAATTCTTTTCAGTCTGTCATCTGAATAACAACGGGTCTAACAATGTTTCCAGAAAACTGCGTACCGCAGAATAAGATCTATTTCTATAGCATTCTAGTCATGAATGTCACTACAGATCTTTGTATTATCATCGTCCCCATTCCTGTAAGTAACCGAAATCAAGCAAATGGTGTGGCTTCTAAGTTACTTCAAAGGTCATCAGCCTCGTCCGAGCCTCAGTCTGGCGCAGAATCGGTATATATTTTCTCTTTAGCCTAGGCGTCTTCGTGATGGCGGCTTCTATCATTCGTGTTGTTCTTATTTTCCATGTATGTGAGAAAGAGAAGCTCATTATATTGGGAAGCTAACCTGATTTCTTTAGCCAACAGGTCAGTTTGGACCCGGGGCCATGTGGTCCATCCGTGAAGATTTCGTGGCTATTTTTGTCGGCCAAGCTCCAATGATTATTCCAATCTTTAGAAAGAGATTCTGGGAAAAGTCCATCAGCAGAACACCCAAAACGTGCCAGGGGTCTGATGGTCATGAACTGTCAGAAGGAGGGGCAAAAAAGCCCAAAAAAGCAAAGGATCCATGGAGCTTGACCATGATAGGCTTCACCCACCACACAAATGCAACCCGTGGTACTCAACCCAGCAGCGTAGGCGCAACAGTGAAGGCAACGGTGTCCACAGGCGGTTTTGAAAGAGCTGTTGTAACAGAGAGGCATTCATCATGTGAAGGCTACCAATCACAGGTGGTAGGTGACTCGCGTTTTATTAATGTTAGCAGCAAAGACCACGACGATCTAGAAATCACGGGAGCTTAAAAATACTTTAGGAGTAGAAATAGCACGGTAGGAAACAGTTGAAAGAAATAGTTTATCTTCATGTTCCATCATAGACGATATAAAGTCGATATAACAAATTCCGCTCCTAGCACACCTCCCTCTCACCTATCTTTTCTTGGTATTCGCTGTTGGTGAAACAGATAGACTACAAAATCCATCACCGCTCCCCTCCGGTGTCCTGCGATGGCCTCACAGCCTCTGGCCCTGATGGGGGCAGCCTGAAACTGGCCTCACCCTTGCCTCCCTCAGGTTATTGTACAAAGTGAGCAAAAGCAGCAAGACTCACCCAGCTCAGCCTATTGGCTAGAGGGTCATGACACGAACGCAGATTCCAGCGAACTCAATTCGGCATGCCGGTATGGACAAGGTACATGGATATGGCGTCTTGTAGACTCCCATTGCAGACATCCTGGCGCCAATCTTCCAACGGCTTTGGCGAGAAGCGCCGGATAAGCGGTAAAATCGATCGTGAACATCCACAAGCCGTCTGAAGTTCCTATTAAACCTTCGCTCACTTTAGCCAAGGGGGCTGACGCTCCAACCAAAGACTATGGTTCCGTGGGGTCTATATTACAAGTAATCTGTACAAGAAGGAGAAGAAAAGGTGTCGCTCTGGGCTAGCAGCGCGACCCAAGCATCGTTCTTTGACTCTGCATCGGTTTGCTGGAATATTCTTCATCCGGAGCAAATTCACCGGGGAAACTACGGGCGCCGGCAGAGCCATTACGGCATCGAGAGAACCACAAACCCGGACCCTCACTTTGCTAAAACAACAGATGAAATATCAAGATTAGGCATAACAGCTAAAACTAGTGCTTACAGGCTATATCCTCGCACCTCCATACAATCCTTATGCCAGCAGGGTCTATCTATGTCAGAAGGGTTACAGTACTAAGTAAAGGAGTCTATAAATAGCGTAGTTAAAGGTTAATTATAACTATTTTCTAATTTACCTTCTCCTAATTCTCTTGTTCTTATAAACTCTGCTTTTATATAACCCTTAGATAATAGTTTTCTTAGTTATAGCCCTATAGCTAGTAGTCCCCTAGTGCCCTTTACCTCTAGCACCTAATATAATCCCCCCCCTTTAAGGTCTTGTCCTTAGGACCTTAAGTAGTGCTTTAGTAGGCCCCTAGGGCTCTACTACTACCTAGTATCTTAGAGGTATCTAAAAACACCTTTAGGCTTAATAAGTTACTAAGTAAATAGCTATTTCTTTAGCTAGCTAATTACTTTTAATTTTACTTTTATAGCTATTATAGTTTAACTAGGCTAAGACTATTATTTTCTTAAGGTTATAGTTATTTTTAGCTAGGTTATAAGCCTTTATTACTTAATTAGCCTTACTAAAGGTTATTTACTTTATAATAAAAATACTTTATTTACTTATAATACTTTTATTATTTTTTTAATTTTTTTTAATTATAATACTTTCTTAAGTACTATATATCTTTAGTAAGCTTTTATTATATAGTTACTTTTTTTATTTTTTTTATTTTTTTATAGCTTTAGCCTTAAGTTATATTATTTTTATAATAAAAAAAAGCCTTTATTTTATTTTTTAATAAGCTATACTAGTAACTTTCTAGGTTTTATTTTTTTTTTATTATTTTTTTTTACTTTATAAGCTTAAGATACTATTATAATTTACTTTATTATTTTTATTTAGCTTAATTAAGTAACTTTTTTAGCTTTACTTTTTTTTTAAATTTTTTACTTTTAATTTTTTATAATAGTTTTATTTTATTATTATTATTTATTTTTTTTATTTTACTACTACTATTACTATTATTACTATTACTTAGTAGTAATAATAATAATAATAGTACTAGTATTAGTACTAGCTTTTTTATTATTACTATATTTTTTTTTACTTTTATTAATACTTTTACTAATAATACTACTACTACTACTACTAGCTTTACTATTACTAGTCTTATTAACTAAGGTAGCTTTATTAGCCTTTTAGTACTTTTTTTTACTTTATTTACTTTTTATTACTTTTATACTTATATTAAAAAAAATAAACTTATTTATAATATACTTTATAACTACTATATTTATTAAATAACTAACTAGTATTTTAGTATATTAAGTACTTATATTACTATTTTTTTTTACTATATAAAGACTATTTATATACTTTTCTTTATACTTAGTACTTCTTTAGTGCTTTTTTTTTATTACTATAGCTAATATATTTTAGCTACTAGTAATAAGTATATTTATTATACTATTATATATAATAAGTCTTATATTCTAGTATATTTACTTTTACTTTAGTTATTTTTATAACTTTTAGTAGCTATTAACCTCTTAAGTAAACTACTTATATTACTACTATAGCTAGTATTAAGCTATATTACTTTTTTAAGGCTATAAACTATTTTATTAAGCTTACTTATATTTACTATAGTACTATTATATATTTACTTTCTTTAGTGCCCCCTTAGTAACCTTTTATACTAACGTTAGCCTAGGACAAGATTAATAAGGCCTAGGTTATAGTTAAAAAAGTACTTTAGTACTAGGTTAACCTAGCTAAGGCCTCTAATACTAAGTATAAGGCTAAGGCTAAAGAGAAAAAGTAGCTTTTTTACTAGTACTATATTATAGCCTTTAAGACCTTTATTAACTTCTTTTACTACTAAGTTAAGCTAGCTAAGTTTATACTTTATACTACTAAGGTTATTACTATAGCCTTTAAGGCCTAGACTATTACTTTTTAGGAGTAGACTATTACTATTATAGCTTAGACTACTTTTTTTTTAAAGTAGTCTTAGACTTACTTTTAGGTTATAAGTGTTCTTTTTAATACTCTTTTAGTACTTTTTTAGTATTTTTTATACTAATTATTAACTTTTCTTTAGTATACTAGTAAGCTTAACTTTAAGGCTAATAAAAATAAAAGTAATACTTTTATATTTTTTATATTCTTTACTTATAATAATAATAATAATAATAATAATAGAAATATTAGTAATAGTAATTTAGAGAATAATAAGTAAAGTAGTAAGTAGACTTTACTATTATTACTTTAGTATTCTCTTTAGTCTTTTTCTTAGTTTATTTTTTTTTACTTATTATACTTTTTAAATACTTAGCCTTTAGGCTACCTATATTCTTTAGCCTTAGTACTATAATAATTAAATCTTTAATCTAGTTATCCTTAGGCTAATCTTTACTTTACTTAGCTATACTTTTATTTTTTTTTAGTAACCTTATACTTATAGTTATATTATAATCTTTTTATAATATTCCTTAAGGTTTTTAAGAGTTTTTCTTTTTACTATATCTCTTTTACTTAATAAGGTACTATTAATTTTACTATAGCCTCTTATAAACTATAATTTAATTTACTTTATATATATCTTTTTTTTTCTTCTTAATTAGTATTAGTTAAGGCTTTACTAGTAATCCCTAGAACTTCTTTAGCTAAAATAAAAAAAAGATATTATAGATCTTATATTTAGTACCTATATTTATCTTATAGGCCTTACTTTTATTAACTATTTACTTTATTATAAAGAGGCTAAAGTACTTATTTAATAGCTTTTTAAATAGTCTCTTTTACTTAATAAACTTAGCTAATAAAAAGACTTTTTTTTTAACCTTAAAGTCTATATTAGACCTCTTAGTATTATACTACTTCTTATAGGCCTAATTAACTACCTTTAATATTTTACTAATTATAGTTCTTTAGCTTTATAGTTACTTTACTTTTTTATAGGCCTTAAGGACCTCTATTAGTCTTACTTTTACTAAGCGTATATTATATATACTCTATAGTATATAGCCTATTAGTACTTTTACTAGTATAACCTTAGTTATACTATACTATAAACTATTATAAATAAATTTAGCTATAGGTAACTATTTTACTTAGTTATCTTACTTAATATTATAAAAGGCTTAAAGGTAGTATTTAATATTCTAGTTTTACTTTTTTATTTATTTATTAGTTTAAAGGTAATAAGCTATACTAAGCTTTTATTTAATAGCTAGCTAATAATATACTACTACTTAAAAGTAACTTATAAATAAAGACCTATAATTTAATACTATTAAAGTTAAAAGTCTAAAATAAAAAAATACTTTATTTACTAAGAAAGTTACTAGCTAATTTATTATTAAGGTTTCCTTAGTAAATAAATAAATAGTATACTTTATAAGCTTATTAACTATAACTAAAATACTATTATATACTTTACTATTAAATCTTTTTAACTTTAGTAGCTTAGTAATAAAGTCTATAGTAACTTACTTCTATAGTTAGTTAAGTAGTAAAAGAAAAACTAGTTTTTTATAAAGTAAATAGTGCCTTAGTTTTATATATTAGTAAGTAGTATATATATTAATATACTTCTTAATATTTTTTCTTATTAATTTCTAGAAAAATATTTATCTTATATATTTTATTATTTAGGTTACCTCTAGGTACTCTTTTAATAGTTTATTATAAAACACTATAAGTAGCTTTATTTTTATTATATATTTCTTTAGTACTATAAGCCTACCTTAGTATTAAAGTAACTTATTTTCCTCTTTAGCCTAGTAATATTATAAGACAAGTGCCTTATATAGTAGATAGATAGGTAGGACATAGGATTACCTTATTAGTATATATCTAGGCATATACCTAGGGGTATATATCCTATTACCTATTTCCTCCTATAAGGAAAGGTAACCTTAATAGATAACTTACACTTATACCTAGCTTTTATCTTATGTTATTTATTTAGCTCCTTGTTATTATTTACCTTATTTTACTACTCTACTGTTACACTTTACCTTTACACTATATTACTTTATATTACCTATTATAGCCTTACTTCTCCTATTAGATCTATAATAGCTAGTAAGAAGGCTATATTAAGTAGTAGTATAACTACTTTAATCTACACCTTTTATTATAGGACAATATATAGCTAACCTTTGGATCTACTTTCTTGGCTTTGCTAATAGATCTATTAGTTAGG